TTCAGAACTGCATAAATCTTAACCTGTTTTTGGTATGTATTCTTACAAGAGTAAATATCAAACCAATGCAATATGATGCGGCTTTTAAAATTCCATATTTAATTATATTCCATTCGAAGGGGTTCAAGTCGAAAGCAAGCAAAAAAACGATTGAATAAAGTTCACTTGGTCTAGCCAATAGGGTAGGTTCCTCTTAAAATGGAAGACAATTTTTTTTTTATTCGTTCTCTTTTGGTGGTAGAAGAGTGCTCTCGAAGTGAAGTGATAAAATCATTGAATCCCCTCGAGGAATATGTTGGAATTAATGAATGAATTAATGTACAATGATCCATTGGTTATGAATAAGAAGTGGGTTAATAAAGAAAAGAGAAAAAGGGAAGATCAAGAGGTGTGTGGGTTTCAACAAGTCCCACATTGGACAATTAGTAGGAAATGAGAGAGTATATAAGCTCCCACTTCCCTCTCTTAGATTGGCCCTTGGGTCACTACATGTTTTATGTAGGGGGAGAGCTAGGTGAGCATTGGTTCACCGCGCGCGGCCGGCCGGCTCGGATCGGTTAAAAAAATAATTTTTTATTAAATAATTTTTTAATATTTTGTCCAAAAAATTTACCGTTGCTTCCCTCCAACCAAAAACGTTTCTACTCGCCGGTTTTTTGAGCAGTATTGAACCGAACCGGTTCTTTCCCTTCGTGAACCAGTCACCGGTTGTGTCTGCTCGCTGAACCGGTCACCGGTCGCACCCGTTCGCCGCCATCAGACACGGCGGTTCGCCGCCGGCGACTGTTCATCGTGACCGGTCAGTGTCTGTAAATAGACACTGACACCTTCAGAAATCTATCCAGTTTTTCCTGCACTTAAACTCTGCCGGAATTTTTATTCTTCCGGTTTTGCATACTGTTGTTCATCCTCCGGTGTGACTTCCTCTGGCATTTTGTTGTGTTCGTTTGGGCTGTTGATTGGTAGTGCCACCATTCTTCAGACGAAATCCGTTCTATCCTGGGAGACAAGTGTCCATCAACCTTAGGCATCAGTGAGGGGGCAAATTGTCTTAAGGAGACACGTTCTGTGGGCTCGGATTTAATTCCTCTTATACTGCATATATTCATCCTTTCATTCTGTCTGTTTCATCATTCTGCCACTGACAAGTAAGTCTGTTTTTAATATTTTTAATTACACAGTGATAATCCTGATCATCTACCTCCTCTGCTTTATACATGGGTTCAAATCTATTAGTGATATAATATCACCCACTGTCTTCAATAACAGAATATAGGGACCATACACTTTAAAAAAGGATGTACAAACGCAAAACTGGGACATGCACGAATACCTCAGTTCAAATCAATCAAGGTACTAGCTAGTACAAACTAGTACTACTACCATATATATGTTACGTGTCGAAACCCTGCATGGCTTGTGGAGATTTTCTTGTCATCTGGTTAGTAGATTATGATTTATGGCATTGCAATTGCACTTGTCTTTCTCTTGCTCATTAACAAAACAAGCATGGGAGAGTCCTCTGCTGCCAAGCATGTCCATCATGTCATATATGTTAACAATATATACGATTGCAACCACTACTTGCAACATTTTTTTTAAAAATAATTGATGGGGTTGCAGGGCATTATTCTCTTTTTCTATCTTGAGTGTGTTGTGATCGGGAACCAATAGCTATCCAGCAAGATCTGGAAATGAATCAACAGGGATATTTTTTTAATACTACGGATGTACGACCAAACCAATTTACTACATAAGAAAAGTTTAAAAGGACATATAAGGGAATATATATATATATATATATAAAAGCAAGGATTAAAAGTCAATTTTTTTTACCCGTTTTATCATCTATCATTTAACATGATCACAAAAAGTTTCTTACACACACAACATTTTATGGGGCTCGTAACAAAAAAAAAAAACTTCGGCAAAACGAATCTCTATAACATAACACAATCATTTTTCTTATAAGATAACTCTTATAAAATCCTTTAATAAACGAGTGTACCAAAAGTTTGCTCAATCAACATGCCAAAAGGAACTTGTGAAGGAATAGGAAGGATTCGGAACTAGCGGGAAATTCGTGTCATGGTAGTACACACTACATGGGTAAACATCATAACAGTCACATAGAGGAAAATTTCTTCAATACTCTAGAATTAAAAAAGAGTCAGAACATCACCCACTAAGGTTAGAAAAAATTAAGTCAGTTAACTGAATTTATTCAACATACTCTTTTATAATTAATGTCACATGAGTCTCACTTATTTATACATCTAGTAAAGGAATATGTGCCACTGTAGTGGGGCATATGAATTTTGAACTCAGTTATCTCAGAGATGTCAATAATATGAGATCTTCTAGTTTAACTCTTCCAAACCATTTTAGATCTCTACATGATAACTTTTCACATCACTCCCTTGTCCTTTTGTTCTTATCTTCACAAATTCTTCTCATTGATCATTTAGGAATTCACTTTCGGTAAAATATTTGTGTTGGTAATAGCATGTTGCAATATGACAAAGTCCAAGTGGAGTCTGAGTTGGATCATGATATATTTGCCAATGAATTTGAATAGAACAAGTTTCGTCTTAACTAAGGTATAACTTTTGATATAGTCATAAAAATTCAATCTAATAAGTGCCATCAAAACCATGGTTTTATAAGTTTGATTCCTAAAAAGTCAAATTGCTAGCAGGTTTTGGGACTTGGAGTTAGAGGTGAGATTGTTCCTACCTTAGAAAGCACATGCCGGATTAAAGTGAGAGAATTATAAGTTCAATTTGTAATAAGGCATGGGAGAATGTGGGATCATGTTACAATCCGTTATATACTATCTAATAATTCGTATCTGACTTTAATTTTCTAGAACTTATAGAATCCGCTATGCTGGTCATGCTGCAGAAATAAATACTATAAATTCTTAGAGTTAATTTGAACAGTGACATTTCTTGATCAGGGCTCTCACATAATAAGTAGCCTAACTAATTTAGACCCACCCATTAGAGGCTGGAAGTTAAATGGATCAAGCCGAAATACTTGCATTGTAAACGATTTATGCTTGACTCGCGTTGCATAAACGCACGAGCTTAAATCAACCACCCATTTAATTATAACTTTATTTTAATTCACTTATCTTTTTCACTTGTGAATTTAAAAATATTTAAAACTCAAACATAGAAAATCAATCATTACATACACATATCAACAAAATTATATTATCATGGTACTTTTATATTGCGAATAGTATCTATTATATCCGTTACACAAATGTCATTCACTTTATCTTAGTAATTTCAAATTTTACAATGAAAAAAGTTCAATAAGATAAATGTTTGTTTGATCAAAACAAAATGGTTTATGAGATTAAAATTACACATAACTAGGTTCACACTATTCTGTCTCGGAGCCCGTTATTTAACAGTTTGGCCTCTATATCAAATTGTATGGCTTTCACATGATCAGCTTGCAATAAACAGAATGGAAAACATTTTTGATGTGAAGAGTAAAAAATACGAGATCAAATCCAAAAAACTTCAACAATAAATAATGAAATTACATAAAGATTCACTCTAGTTCAATAATTAGAGAATTGTACCCTCTAAAAGGATGAATTAGACAAGTGCCTCACACAAGCGTTTCTCTCTATAAAGAGATAAGAATTCTACCCTACAAGTTTTTCTTCTTCTTCAGCAATAACGTTGGATATCTTCCTCAGAAAATCTTTGCCTCTAACTTGCATTTTCTCTTGCATGTTTTCTTTTTTTCACATCATCCTCTTCTTCTCTCTATGAATAGTGGTGACTGAGCATCTAAACATCTCTTATAAATAAAAAATAGTGCACCCATTAAATGAGTCGGTCCGTCGTGTGCCACGAACCCAACACACAGAAAATAATGGGCCATGCATTAACGATCTGAATACCAACTAACATATTAAAAAATTATATATATTAATAATCGGAGCGGCATGCAAGTTAAATTGAACGAGCCAAAAATACTAGGAATATTTATATAAATCCGTAACATGAAAAATCAACTTTTAATAACTTATGTGGTTAAACACAATGACGTTATGCGTGTTCAGTCTCTTTTAACGAATTACACTTTAAATAATAACTGTATGCCTAATAAGATTAGACTAGTGATAAGAGATTTAGATGATTTGTATGCGGTCATTAGATTTAAATTTCAGTGTCACCATTATATATATAAAAAAATCTCTAACATTTGGCACAGTAAAAATTAAGTGCTAAATCTAATAACTTGAAGTTTATAGGCTTACTTTCAAACCCAAATACACCTCATTTTTCTTCAATTTTGAGAAACTAAAAAAGAAAAAATAAAAGAAAGAAAAAAAACAATTTGGACTAGCCCCGTAAATGCAGTTCATCAGTGCAAGCAATTAGATTTAACTTGAATAAATGTCATTTCTTTACATTTCTCAGTTGTGTTACATATATAATCCTTGAAACTTTATTTCACCAACAGACACAACCATTGTATTTGTGTATACGATTGCTGATTAGTTTTGTACAAGTGAGAAAGCATATAAAAGGAAGTATATGTAATTTTCTAAATTAAGATCGTGTTTAAAATTATAAAAAATTGAATCATTTGATTTACTTCAATTTTAAAATTAATTTTCATGTTTAAAACTCATTAAAAATGAAATTTAAATTAATTTACAAATCAAGTTTTATATTTAAAATACATTAAACAAATTGAATTTATTTTATTTCATTTACCTAAAACAGATTAAATGACTTAATAAATAGAAACAAAAATGTTAACTCAAGCAATTAAACCTAAAATTAAATTTTACCAAATTTGAATGAATTTCATTTGTACGCAACTCAAGCAATATTTTTTCTATATTAAATCAATTCTTATTTTATAAATCAAATAAATTCCTAAAAATATTTAATTCCAAACGTGTCTAAAGGAGACTTCATGTAATTTCATCAAATCAATGTAATTTATCCTTAAAATATCCATGATGAAAATTAAACAAATAAAAAAATGGAGCACAATCATATTTGGGAAGCTATATAACAAGCCATCATCGCAACCAAAAAAAAATTAGTGATTACTATACATAAAATATATTCTAACTTTAGGTTGCCCAGTAAGGTTGGGGTGCACAATACTGAGCAAGAATTCAACAGTTAAATTTTTAAGTCAGCACTGTTAGCATAAAGTTGCACGATGACTAAGCAGTAGAATTCTTCTTCGCTGCATATGCACGACATGCAGCCAAAGCAACAACTGCCATAGCAGTCCCAACTGTAAATTCAAGACACACAGCTGTTTAAAAATCGACACTTGAATAACAAAAAAATTGAAATTTTGCAAAATTTGTGGTGCATGACCTGAGGCAAAAATAAGAGAGTGCTGAAGAAGCCGATGGTATTGCTTCCTTTTCCTCCCAATCTCAGTTTCTGGAATGCTTAAATGAGGGTGTTCTGCAGCACTAACAATCTTGTTGTACACGTTACTGGAATCACCTAATTTCATACTTACGTGAATAGGTGCCTCTATTCCCAATTCTTGAGTAACCTATACAAAAAATAAACAGATGACAATGTTGTTTTCAAATGTCTATCTTACGGACTACCATTAATCAATTATTTAATATTGTTTATTAGATTATTAAGTAATATTAATTATGAAAAATTGTTATATTTTTTTAATTATAGCACTTGACCAACTGATGGATATTTTAATAGGCTTTGAAATGGATAACCCGTTATGAGTGGGACTACTAATATATTGCTAATTGAGAAGTCTCTAGTCTAATATGATGGTTGCCCCATTTGGCACAGAGACTTTTGGTTTTTCTTATCATAACGAGAGCAGTTAACTCTCACAAGGAAAGGAAGATGGATCCTACCCTCGTGCCAAAGTGTTTACTGGAACATGCTATAATGTGTATTGACATGAATACATGATGAAATTGATCTAGGAAATTTGATTACTTTTCAGTAGATAACATCCTGAACTCACAGCTTTAGCTATGAAATTATGCATAATCATTAACATATCCATTATATGATAATACTGAGCTGAAAATGGAATACCTTAACTGAATCTTGTACCGCCCTTGGATATGGAGTTAAATCATCCTTAGCAGCAATAAGGAGACAAGGAACTCTATGACCAGTTAGATCTCCTTGTCGCGCAACCTTCTCAAGCAAATCTCTGGATTTCTTCCATGAATGTGCATCTGAGCTGGAAAACAAGGAGAAAAGAGCAAAAACTAAGATACGGAGCAAAATGCCAAAAATAAACCACTAATAAACAACTAAGAATTAATCTAGATTAGTTCAATTAAGAGAGATATATTCCACCTAAGGCCTCTCTTTCTAGTGAGAGGAGTTAATAATGGCATAAAATAAGTAGTTCAGATTTTAAAAGCCCATGTCACCCTTCTTTGTCTCACCCACAGGCCTCTCTTTCTCCATCTTCCCCTCTTCAACTCTCCAACCCAGCATCTCTAACTTCCACTCTCCATGATTGCAGTTTATTGATCGACTCCTTCGTTGCCCAGCATCTCTCTCTCTCTGTCTCTGTCTCTGTGTGTGGCTTACAGCATTGTTCTACAGGCTAGTTTCATTTTTTCAATATTACCTCCTTGTTCTCAGAAAAACCCATTTTAAAAGCCCACATGAGCAGGGGCATGTGACCCCCCCTATTTGGAGCGAGACACGGTTATAACAAGTTCTAAGGATAATGAGAATAAAGGGGCGAAGAAGGGGGTTTAATAGATAAGAATGAATCAAGAAATATAGTAGATAGAGAAGAGACATGCCTCTCGAAAGCATGTTATGTTTACTTCTGTTTCAGCAAATTCTGTAGTTGCTCCATGTTGAGATATATAGTCCCACATTGGTTGTATGTGCAACTAATGTGAAGTTTATAAGGCTTTGGGCACTCCCACCCCTTGAGCTAGCTTTTGGGGTGGTGTATCCCAAGGTTCTTTACATGGTATCAGAGCCTCGCCGTCCCCCACTTTCTCTTGTGGCGTTTCTTAGCACAGGTAGGCTGGGTCTGTTGCACTGTCCACTCTTCAAGCCCAATGGGCTCTCGTGTGAGGGGGCGTGTTGAGATATATAGTCCCACATTGGTTGTATGTGCAACTAATGTGAAGTTTATAAGGCTTTGGGCACTCCCACCCCTTGAGCTAACTTTTCTTGGTTATGTTCCTGATAAGAAGGGCTACAAGTGTTATCACCCTGGTAGTAGGAAATTTTTTGTTTCTATGGATGTTACATTTCAAGAATCTGAGTCCTTTTTCCAAGGTCCTCATCTTCAGGGAGAGAATCCTTCACCAGAAAACTCATCACCTCCCTTCTTTGAGTTTGAATCTTCAGTATCTACTTCTTTACCTGTGTCAGTGTATCCTCCTCTTGTTCCTGTTCCTCCTGTGTCTGATCCTCCTGTGAGTGATCCTCCTGTGACTGATACATCAAGTACACCAGAGATACAGAAGATTATGACACCTGAGTTGGTATATCAAAGAAGGAAACAACCCACATTGCCTCAGCAGCAACCTCAATCGTCTGAACCACTGGTAAGTCCTGAATCTCATATTTCTGATCATGATGTTAATACTTCTAATGACTTACCTATTACTACTGATTCTGATGATTTACCCATTGCTCTTAGAAAAGGAAAAAGATCTTGTCCCAAGAAATCTTGTTCTTCCTGTCCCTCTTGTACTCAATACCCTATCTCCCATTTTGTTTCCTCTGCTAATCTTTCTGTGCAGCACAAAAGCTTTGTTTCAGCACTAGACTCTATTGCAATCCCAAAATCAGTACATGAAGTCTTGAAAGATGGGAATTGGGCTCAAGTCATGCAAGAGGAAATGAATGCGTTGGAGAAAAATAAAACATGGGAGGTTATTGATAGACCTAATGGAAAGAAAGCAGTAGGGTGCAGATGGGTTTATGCCCTGAAATATAATTCTGATGGAACTCTTGAGAGATACAAGGCTCGGTTAGTTGCCAAAGGTTACACTCAAACCTATGGCATTGATTATGAAGAAACATTTGCTCCAGTTGCAAAGATGAATATGGTGAGAGTCTTGCTATCCCTTGCTGCCCATTACAATTGGGATATAAATCAATTTGATGTGAAAAATGCTTTCCTCAATGGTGAGTTAGAAGAAGAAGTCTACATGGAAATCCCGCCTGGTTTTGATTCTGTGAAGGGAGAAAATAAAGTTTGTAGATTGAAAAAGGCCTTATATGGATTGAAGCAGTCACCTCGTGCCTGGTTTGGAAGGTTTACTAAGGTTATGATGACCTTAGGATACAGACAGAGTCAAAGAGATCACACTCTTTTCTTCAAGCACTCCCGTAATGGGAAGCTTACTGTGCTCCTTGTATATGTTGATGATATTATTATCACAGGTGATGATTTTGTGGAGAAACAGATTCTGCAAACACGGCTTGCCTCTGAGTTTGAAGTCAAAGACCTTGGGAAACTGAGATATTTCCTAGGGATAGAAGTAGCTCATTCAAGGAAAGGAATTTTTATCAGCCAGAGGAAATATGTTCTTGATCTTCTCAAAGAAGCAGGAAAGCTCGGGTGTAAACCCTCTAATACTCCTATTGAGCAGAACAACAAGATAGGCTATGAAGAGGAGAGTCCTCCAGTTGATAAAAGACAATATCAACGGCTAGTTGGGAAATTGATATATCTGGCTCATACTAGACCAGACCTAGCTTATGCTGTTAGTGTTGTCAGTCAGTTTATGCACGATCCAAAGGAGAAACACATGCAGGCAATAGAGAGAATTCTTCAGTATCTTAAAGCTACTCCTGGTAAAGGCTTGTTATTCCGACGTGATGGCAATCTCTCTTTAGAAGTTTACACTGATGCTGATTATGCTGGATCCGTGACTGACCGTCGTTCTACCACTGGTTACTGCATGTTTCTTTGCGGTAACTTGTGACATGGAGAAGTAAGAAACAAGATGTGGTCGCCAGATCAAGTGCAGAAGCTGAATTTCGAGCTATGGCTCAAGGCATTTGTGAGTTATTGTGGCTGAAAATTGTACTTGATGATCTCAAAATAAAATATGAGGGACCTATGAAGCTGCTATGTGATAATAAGTCCGCTATTTGTATAGCTCATAATCCAGTTCAACATGATCGGACTAAACATATTGAGGTTGACCGTCATTTCATCAAAGAGAAACTTGATAGTGGACTGATTACCACTCCATACATTCCCACTGGGCGTCAATTAGCTGATCTATTAACAAAAGGACTTCCTTCAGACAGATTTCAAGAACTTACTAGCAAGCTGGGAATGATAAATATCTATTCCTCAGCTTGAGGGGGAGTGTTGTAAATATTGGTTATTTAATTATTACTATTTGTTGTATTGGGCCAAGCCCATTAGGTCAAGTATTAGTTCAAGTATTAGGGTTTTTCATTCTCTATAAATAGAGACCTCTTTGTACAGATTATTGACACAATTCAATAATATTTCAAATACCTTTTTCTTTCAAGTCTCCATGTACATGCCTCTGAGTTATTCCATTCCCAGAGAGTTGAATACTGTTTTCACATAATTCAGTCCCATTTACTGTGATTTGTGTTCGTGTATCTATCAAGTCTAGTATAAAAGGGGGAAGAAGTGGGTTTAGTAGATAGGAATGAAGAAAGAGAGAGAGTAGATAGAGGACAGACATGCCTCTCGATGGCATGTTATTTTTACTTCTTGTTTCAACAAATTCTGTAATTATTCCATATAAATGCCTCTGGTATTTATTCCATTGTCAATGAGTTGAATACTATTTCCTCATGATTCAGTTCCATTTACTGTAATTTGTGTTCGGGTACCTGAGAGTTTCTAATTGAGCAAATAATATGCATATTGATAACTAACTAGCTCATAGTGCAAGGCAAGTATTGAACTCTAAACTATTTGGTCATAGAAACTATGATAACATGATATGAACCAATTATCCCTGTTAGAATATTAGATATGATATGATTAGATATGATTGGATTCTGTCTTATCCGTAAATATTCTGACTGTATTCTGACTGTATTAGGATTAAGTTTGACTGTATTAGGATTAGGTTTGGGCCTTACACTTAAGCCCATTAGGGTCTCTATATATTGTAATTCCCTGACACAGATCAATACACAACGTATTCTTTTACATTTAACTTGGTACCAGAGCTATTTCGTTCTGGGAACCCTCGCTTCCGCTTAGAAATCTTGTTCTTCGCTTTAAAACCTAAGCCCACTGCTTAGGAGTCATCTTCTCTTTGCCGTGCGTCCTTCCGGCAAGACATCAAGGACTGTAAGTCCTCTCCAGGCATCTTCTGCACGTGTCCACATCCTTAAACAGTCACCGGAGCCACCGTCAGCCACTGTTCAGGCTGCCGGAGTACTTTTCCGGCGAGTTTTCAGACTGGAACGAACGCGAACAGCACCCTCTCCTCCCGGCACCTGATCTGTGGAAGTCCGGCCACCATCGGAGTTGTCACGCGCTCTCACGCGCCTCCAGTCTTCTCTGCGCGTGGGCTTCACGCGCCACCTTCTACCGGCGCGTGAGCACTATTCCGGCGGCTTTTCCGGCCGGTCTTGGACAGAGAAGCTCGTCTTCTCCTCCTCTTTCTGGATCTGTGGTTGGTTCTTTGTGGGTCTGACTTTTTGTGCGCACCTCTTCTTGATTGGTGATCAGGTTCGTTTCTCTTTATTCGGTTTATATCTTTGTGATTTAATACTATGGAAGCAAACCCTCCAATTCATTCGGAGGTCAAGTCTCCATCTCCTCCTGTGAGAAATTCTCCCAATATCATCTCTACCAATATTGGGTCCATTACCTCTTCAAAATTGAAGGGATCTGTTAATTACAAGAATTGGGCCACCTCTGTTCGAGTTTGGTTCTTTGGACAAGGATATGGGAGCCATCTCACGACTAAGTCTACTGATGTCCCTAAGGAGGACAAGTCTGATTGGGAAAAGATTGACAACCAGCTTCTGAGTATCCTCTGGCAATCCATTGATCTGATCGTCTTGGATATCTTTTATTCCTTTCAAACTTGCACTGAAGTATGGGAGGAAGCAAAAAACCTCTACACTAATGATGTTCAGCAACTCTATTTCATCATCTCCCAGTTTATGGAATTGAGCAAATCATCCGACATTCAGATGGAGACATATATTGGCAAGAGTCGCTCTTTGATGCAGGCATATTTGGATATGCTGCCTTACCCTACTGATGCTACTGCATATCGGAAACAAGTGGAAAGTCTCTTTATGGTTGCCACACTTTCTGGCCTTCCCGAAGAATATGATAATGTCTGTGATACTATCTTGACTAGTGGGGAGCCTGATCTATCCATGACGTATCAGCGTCTTCTGAATTTGAATAAGAAATCTGCTCCTCAATCGTCTTCTGCTGTTGATTCTACTGCTCTAGTTTCCCGTACTGATTTTCGCGGGAATATTGGAGGTGGACGTGGTCGTGGTAGAGGCCCAGGAGGCCGTGGCCCAGGAGGTCCAGTCGGACGTGGTCAGCGACCTCGTTGTCATTACTGTCAGCAACTTGGTCATTATGAGGAACGCTGCTACACAAAGTATCCTCACATGCGACCTTCTTTTGCTGCTAATATAGCTCAATCGGATACTGCTTCAAATGGTACAGTCTCTCTCTCCTCTGAAGAATATGTAGCATTCCAGGCCCTTCTCAGGAAGTCCTCTCCTCAATCTCAGGCCTCCGCTTCAGAAACTGGTAATCCTGTTGCTTGTGTTTCTCATTCTGCATCACTTGGTCCTTGGATATTTGACTCAGGTGCTACTGATCACCTCTGTGGTAATAAGGAACTCTTTTCTTCCCTTACATATTCTGAAAATTTACCCTCTTTTACTCTTGCTGATGGAACTAAGGCCCCCGTTCATGGGATTGGACAAATCTGTCCAACCTCCTCATTGACCTTGACATCTGTCTATTACATTCCTCACATCCCTTATAACTTAATATCTGTTAGTAAATTGATCAATTCTCTTAATTGTATTGTCACATTCTCAAACCAATCTGTTTCTGTGCAGGACCCGGGTACGGGGAAAATGATTGGAGTGGGCCGTGAGTCACGGGGTCTGTTCTACCTTGATGTGCCGAGTCCTTCAGTTGCTTGTTCTCTCACAGAATCTCCACAACTCATCCACAGTCGTCTTGGGCATCCTAGTCTTGCGAAATTGCAGAAGATGGTTCCTCTTTTATCCGGTCTTCAAACTTTAGATTGTCAGTCATGTCAGCAAGGAAAGCACATCCGCTCCTCCTTTGCTAATCGTGTCAATAAGCGAGCAGATGCTCCTTTTTCAATTATTCATTCAGATGTTTGGGGTCCTAGTCGAAGTGTGTCTGTTTTAGGGTTTCGGTATTTTGTTACCTTTATTGATGATTTCTCCCGTTGTACTTGGATTTATTTAATGAAAAACCGTTCTGAGTTGTTTTCTATTTATCAAAGGTTTTCTGTTGAAATTCATACTCAATTTGGTGCTTCTATTCGTATTTTACGTAGTGATAATGCTAAGGAATATGTTTCTGTTGACTTTTCTCATTTCTTAGCCACACAGGGTACTTTACACCAAACCACTTGTCCTCACACTCCACAACAAAACGGAGTAGCTGAACGTAAGAATAGACATCTCATTGAGATTGCCAGGACTCTTCTTATTCACATGCATGTTCCTCTTCACTTCTGGGCTGATGCAGTCCTTGCTTCTTGCTTTCTCATCAACCGCATGCATTCATCTGTGCTTAATAATGATATTCCTCATAACTTATTGTTTCCGGATGTTCCTCTCTTTCCTCTATCCCCACATGTTTTTGGTTGTACCTGTTTTGTTCATGATCTCACTCCTGGTAAGGATAAGTTAACATCCAAAGCCTTTAAATGCATTTTTCTGGGTTATTCTCGTCTTCAAAAGGGTTATCGTTGTTACTCTCCTGATCTCAAGCGTTACTTAGTTTCCGCTGATGTCACCTTTCTTGATCAACAACCCTTTAATTCTATCCCATCTCCATTGTCACAGGTTGATCATGTTCTTCCTGTTCCTTTTCTTGACTTGTCTTTGCCAGATGCAGGTGCTTCTACTCCAGATAAGCAATCACCTATTGCTCCAGTACCTGAGAACCGTCCACTTCTCACTTATCAGCGTCGTAACACAGTACCTCCAGTCGACTCGACCCCTGCTGACTCATTGCCCCTTGCAGTTGATTCTTCCCCTCCGGATCCTTCACCAGAGGCTCTTCCCATTGCTCAAAGAAAAGGTACACGTACTACTCGTAACCCTTATCCTCTTTATACCTTCTTGAGCTATGATCGTCTTTCTCCTCCTCATTTCACCTTTGTTTCTAGTCTTTCTTCTGTTTCTATTCCTAAGACCACAGGTGAAGCACTTTGCCATCTAGGATGGCGCCAAGCGATGCTTGATGAGATGACCGCACTTCATACCAATGGCACTTGGGACCTTGTTTCTGCTCCTCCAGAGAAGTCTATAGTTGGTTGTCGTTGGATGTTTACTGTGAAAGTTGGACCTGATGGCCATGTTGATCGTCTCAAGGCACGCCTAGTTGCCAAGGGTTTTACTCAAATATTTGGTCTTGATTATAGCGATACATTCTCTCCAGTCGCTAAGATGGCGTCCGTCCGCCTATTTCTTGCCCTTGCTGTTGTTCGTCACTGGCCACTCCTTCAACTTGACATCAAAAATGCATTTCTTCATGGTGATTTACAAGAAGAAGTTTACATGGAGCAACCACCTGGTTTTGTTGCTCAGGGGGAGTCTGGGAAGGTATGTCGTCTTCGAAAATCCTTATATGGTCTCAAGCAGTCTCCTCGAGCATGGTTCAGTCGCTTTAGTTCTGCTGTACAGGCGTTTGGCCTAATTAGCAGTAAAGTTGACCATTCTGTATTCTATAGAATTACATCTCCTAACAAGTGCATCTATTTGTTAGTCTATGTTGATGACATCATCATCACCGGAAGTGATCAAGACGGAATCTGTCAATTAAAACAACATTTATTCAGTGCATTTCAAACAAAGGACCTTGGGAAGCTGCGTTACTTCTTGGGAATTGAGGTGGCGCAATCTAGACAGGACATTTCTATCTGTCAAAGGAAGTATGCCTTGGATATCCTAGAAGAGACTGGTATGTTGGGGTGTAAACCAGTTGATACACCCGTGGATCCTAATGTTAAGTTATTGCCCAGACAAGGGGAGCCGTTATCTGATCCTGGACGTTATCGAAGGCTGATTAGGAAGCTCAATTATCTTACTGTGACTAGGCCAGATATTTCTTTCGCTGTCAGTACGGCTAGTCAGTTCCTTGATTCCCCTTGTGATTCACATTGGGATGCTGCTGTGAGGATCCTCCGATACATCAAAGGAGCACCAGGAAAAGGTTTGTTGTATTCGGATCAGGGAAAAACAGAAATTTGTGGTTACTCAGATGCCGATTGGGCAGGATCACCCTCGGACAGACGCTCTACTTCTGGTTATTGTGTCTTCTTCGGAGGAAACTTAATCTCATGGAAAAGCAAGAAACAACCTGTTGTTTCCCGATCTAGTGCAGAAGCTGAGTATCGTGCAATGGCAAATACTACCTGTGAGTTGATCTGGTTAAAGCAGTTGATTCAGGAGCTTCATCTTTGTGAACAGAAACAACCCATGACACTCATCTGTGATAATCAAGCTGCGCTACATATATCCTCTAATCCTGTTTTTCATGAGAGGACCAAACATATAGAGATTGATTGTCACTTCATTCGGGAAAAGATTCAGTCAGGAGAAATCAAGACAGCGTTTGTCAACTCGTCTAATCAACTAGCAGATGTTTTCACTAAAGCTCTTAGAGGTCCTCGGGTTGAATACATTTGTAACAAGCTTGGTGCTCATAATATATACGCACCAGCTTGAGGGGGAGTGTTAGAATATTAGATATGATATGATTAGATATGATTGGATTCTGTCTTATCCGTAAATATTCTGACTGTATTCTGACTGTATTAGGATTAGGTTTGACTGTATTAGGATTAGGTTTGGGCCTTACACTTAAGCCCATTAGGGTCTCTATATATTGTAATTCCCTGACATAGATCAATACACAACGTATTCTTTTACATTTAACTATCCCAAAAGTTTAAATTATTAGGTAAAGACAAATAAATGGTCATTTTTTCTCTTGGTTTCCGGGGGCGTCCCCCCTCCCCCATTTGAATGAGACTAATCCCTTTTGTGGCGTAGAGGGTGAAATTTTTTACCACTTCACCCAAATTGCTTGGCTTAGAATTCGAATTAAGGACCTTTCAGCCCCAACAATCCGCTCCTTGGGCACAACTCACTTACCAGTTGTGCCACCCCTTGGGGTTAAAGACAAATGAATGATTGTATATTACATCTCTAATAATTTATTTAGGCAACTAGTTACATGGGATACAAACAGCACTTCGACTTTATTTTTACTCTACCCATAAATAAGCTGGTTAAAGCAAGAATGCAAGACACCACTCCCACAGCTTAAATGTAGCAAAGCAGTACCACATAAAATCATTTTGCACCATACCTGTCGTACACAAAAACAGCTACATCACAATCTGCCAAATAATCCTGATTTGACAAAACTTTCGATACTTCACCCTCTGGTATCTCCCGCAATACAAGAGTTTTCCTAGTTCCCTATATAATGGTAAACATCAGGATCATGATTATATATAGACTGTATATTCTTAACTTCCTCTACAATATCTATAAGACATATTTACTAGTAACAGGGTATATTACATTGAGGCAAAGCATGAGAGAAAGACAATATCATTTTTCAAAATCATTCAGATAACAATAATGTTTTCCAATCATGGTACTCACCCCCATTAATTCAATGGCATTTGCAGCAAACTTCTCAACCGTTGTCGGAGTATAACTATTTGAGAAAGGCCTATGAAAATGAAATTAAAGGAAAACGGACTCAAACAGTAGGAGTGAATGAAATTTCACTTGCTGATAGATCAAAATATATTTAAAGACAAAATGTGGTGATTGGTTCAGAAGCACACCTTCCCAATAACGAATCTAGCAGAGCAGATTTCCCGGAATTTTTAGAACCAAAAACGTAGCATTGGAATACATTCCTTTCTGTTGCTTGCTTCTTACGATCTACTGATCTTCTGCGAGTAACACGGAGTGCTGCAGCAGGATTACCACTATATCCAATGTAAATCAGATTAGCCAGGCTATATGATGGATCAAGTAATGTCATAAGGGCCCACTGCATCACACAATTTAAGAGATATATCAATAACTAACTTATTGGGAAGAATAAAAGACAGCACAAGTTATCCCCACCTGGCACAGAAATCCATTAAGAGATATGTAACCCATGTCAGTTCTCTCAGCAGCATCCATATATGGAACATCATTCCATGGACTGCAATTCAAAACCAAGTACCAAACATAAGACGGATGACATCAAGTGGAAAAACAAATAGACCAATATAAATCATTTCAAGATATTTATCACAAATGAAAAAGAAGGAAACAAGTGAATAATTTGCAAAGAACATATTGCATTTGAACAACAGATAAAAGGATAGGATATTCTGCCTACTTTTTTCTATGCCTATTCTACCTACTCCTCTCCAACAATGTTAGATCATTATTTCAACTAACCTTCACCCTTTCTCCTCTTGAGATTGTGATCTAACAGTAATGGATAAGAATAGATAGGCATGAAAAAAGATAGGTAATTATATCTATCCAATAGATAAAATTAAAATCAATATAACTATAAAATAGGTATCACCTGAAAAATTAAAAAATATCAATGTTCCCAAAGGTAACTTTATGTATTTAAGGTTATGAAAAAAAATTGTTTTCTGAGCTCTCATAATGCAATAGAATAATTAGATGCTTCATGCTTATTATTGAGATAGAATAAAAAATTGTTTTAATGCTACAGAAACATTGACTTTCTTAAGAAAAAGTGAAAAAAAAAATCCATTAAAGATGTAATACTTATAAAAAATACTTATCCTGGAAAAGAAATTCTGTTTAAAAGAGGGAAGGAAATGACTTCAAAAGCGTATACAAATGCTGACTACTATAGATGAAAAAAGATCAACCTCCCGATACTGGACTTCTCTTGAAGGAAACTTGGTAACTTAGAGGAGTAAAAAACAAAAAATTTGTTGAAAGGTCAAGTGTAGAAACAAAATTCCAAGCTATGGCCTTAGGGATCTGTGGACTCTGTTAAAATTAATTCTAGAAGACCTAAAGATTGAGTAGAACACACCTATGAGACTGCAACGTGACAACAAGTCAGCAATAAACATTGTACATAATCAAGTGCAACATGACAAGACCAAGCATGTTAAAGTAAACAGTGACAGACACTTCATCTAGGAAAAGTTGGATAATGGGACAATTTGTACACGAATTGTATCTACCAGGAATCAACTTGCATATGTGCTGACAAAGGGATTAAACAGTGATATATTTCAATCTATTGTTAGCAAGCGGGGAATGGATAATACCCACTCACCAACTTGAGGAGTGTCAGAATCGCACTGTACAGAACACTTACTTCATAGATTGGATTACATCCCATAACTAGGAGACATATTAGCTGTACTTATTTTGTATTTTTGGTGTAAGAATCATTGACCTGTATTTATAAGAATTGACAGTAGGTACAGGCATGAGCAGTACCATAGGATTTTTCTTATTTAGATTACTTTGTATTCTATTTAAGAGAACATGCTTTTGTAAGAAATTATCAGACCATTTCTGACAATAACAACACTAGTATTAACTGCTACAACCTAGCACAATCAATTTTTTTGTTTTTAAAAAACTAAACATGGCCAAAGGGATACATTAAAAGAAATGAATAAAAGCACAAAATTCCTTACATAACTGGACCAAAAAAAGAATCTAAAGCCCATAACTTACCAAAAAATAAGCTCCAGTCATAGTTCTGTTCTCATTATGATACGATACCAATTTTAAAGATGTAAAGTGGGAGCATTATAGGAGATCCACACCTCTTGATGCTGACTCAGCAAAACAGTTAGGAGAGAATATTCGAGAAGTGAGTATGGAGGGGAATTGGTTAGGAAGGCGTGGGATTACTGAAGCTGTTGAAGAATGATGATAAATATAGATGAAAGGAATGGAGAATGCAGAAAATTAGTTGGGAATGGAATTGGGACTTGGGAGAGACCGTAGCCTCTCTAAAGCTACTGGACTATCACTTCTTCATTGTTATTTCTCTTCTTCAGTTTCAACTATAATTGATTCTCTTTAATTCTATGTAGCAGCATTATAGTTGTCAAATTGGTGTAGTAATTCTTCTGTTTGTAAAACACTTCCAGTATTTAATATAATCTTCTGATAGGATTGATACTCAGAAATAATAAAGAAACACAGAAAGAAAATAAAAATGAAACGAAATTGTATTTGATAAACTGAAATTCTTACAGAACAAGACTTGTACATGCTATTACAAAAGAAAAATGAGAATGTATTACAATGGAAAATTAAAAGAAGAAGAACAATGACAGATATCTGAGTATTTGAGAGACTCAGTACTCTCCCAGCCCAATTCCAAGTTAATTCCCAAGATGCTAAACTATTCCTCCCCATCCTTCTTATAGTCCCCTCCCCTAGGTAACCAAAATCCACTCTCCCTTTCATGCCCCCTGGAATGTGTGAGTTAGTTATGAAGGTGTTAATCCCCTGCAGTTGCACCTATGATACACCCTAGTAATGGGTGGTATCCTAGCATCTTCTTACTCGTGTGCAATTATGCTTTCTTTCCCTTCTTTACTTCAAAATTCTGTAGAAACCTAACACAATACCAACTATAGTGGTGTGAACAGTTATGATCACCTAAGAACTCAATCGAATTCCCAAAAGAACTTGATTCATTTTTACCCTATTAGAATACCTAGATGATATCGTATAATATTGAAATTATATCTTAAAATAGTTTAGAGTATCCTAGATTGCAGTTTATAGTTTGTATGTGGCCCCTTCTTTTTCCCCTTGTACACTAAAGTAAATTCCTATTAGTCTCCCTCGTAGAAATCGTGATGCAAGTATCAAAACGGCAACAATTACAAAACTTCATCATAGGAATTGCCCAAAACCTCCAAACAACATGTATAAAGGGCATCCTTGAGGAGTTCAAGAGGCAAGTCATTTTTGACTTAACGTGAACGCTTTACAGGAAACAAAAGTCTACCAATACTCCTTGAGCGTAAGCAGTATCTTATACAGGGTGTCCTCTTCTCTTTGCAATGATTACTCAGCATTGAACCTACAACTTATTTTGAAGATCTCCTCCAACAACCGAAGTAATAGCTAAAGCTGTTAGAGGCAGTCAATCAATTCTAGAGTTCTTCACCCACAATAAGAAAAAGTAATTTATTTGGGCAGACTAAATATGACACTAGTGAAGATACTGGTTATAAAAGGGATAGTCAAAAGGCGAGTTCACCTTTTTACTTTTTTTATACTTAGAAAGTTTAGAGGAGGGGAGGTTGCAAGTTTACCTTTCTGGAGCAGTACAAAATAGCTTATCAATTTCAGCAGGTCGTAGGGCTCGATCCTAGAGAGTATCAATGTTCAAAGAAGCAAATCATAAAAAAGCATATTAGATAAAGAATATCACCTAAAAAGAATGCTCAGAGAGAGGGAGTTAAAGCACATAGTAGTGGTCAAGGAAGTCAAAATAAAAAACATTACCACATACTTTATCCATGTCTAACAGTCGGAAGATACCATTTAGAAACTCTACAGCTTCACCAGTCAGCTCCACACTCTGTAAGATTATGCCAATGAAAGTAAATACTTCATATCATTTGAAAGTTAAACAGGAAGTGTAAAATAACTTTACAACTATTTGTAATGACTTGATGACCTGAAATGATGGAAAAAGTAGTATTTGGTATAAAGCGCATACTATGTCTTGTGCTTTTTGAAAGCCATCATTTGACTCAAGAAGCATGCATCAGAAAACCAATAACACCAAATATTTGCATTGCTCTTTCCATGTCAATAAGGAGCAACAAGGAATAAAATTATAATATATCAACTACAACAATAAACTAATTGCAATCCAGACTTTCATATTTTTACCAAAGGAATGCCAACAGATAAGGAAAGATCTCGACAAATAACTGTGCAACAGATAAGAGTATTCTTTCTGAAGTGAGTATAAAATCTATACTTGATTTCTCCAAATCACTAATCCAAGAGACCCAGGCAGTTCACAGCTAATATTTGCAAAACCTCCAAATCACCAAACCCCAGATACACTTGGTTTTAGGAAATCATCAATCTTAAAACCTACTAGTCAGTAGCTAATAATATAATTTACAAGTATAAGCTTAGGTAACATTTTAGTCTTCCTAATTTAACAATCACATACATTTTCTGTTATTGTTAATAATAAGATTGAACATTGTACAGTTAAATGGCTGTATCACTACTGTAATCTCTTCCATTTAAACCAAACAGCAAGACAAAAGCTGAAATTCCACAACAAAAGAACAAAGAATATGACCTGATCAGAAGAATTCTTTGATGGAACTGGAAGAAAATCATCCTGGAGTTTTAAATCATTATCATATCCAAAGTTTCTTAGAACAGCCCATAATGTCTCTGGACGCCCTTTCCTTAGGAACATATTATGGATATAAATAAACCCTGGAAAAGTAAGACCAAGTGAGTTGACTCCTTCAGGTACTTTCTGCTGTACAACAGTTTTGACCCCTGCTATTTCAGATGACTGCAATGGTGCATTGAAACATCTAACCTGTTGACGTATTTGCAAGTTTTGAATAAAGGGGCTATACATGAAAGCACCAAATATTCAAAGCATATGAAATAAAAAAGGAAATGGAAAAAAAAAAATCAAATCTATCAAAAACCTGAAACTCATTTAGTTCAGCATCATTGAGGGCATCATCCATGTCACGATCAAAAAGAACAAATATTCTTCTCAATGCCCTAACACATCGATCTGTCAAAGCTTGACTTTCATGATCAAATAAGGGATCTACTGGATGCAGTACCGCTTTTTGAGCAAAATAAAAAACTTCAGGAACCTAAAATTGTAGAAGTAATATTAAATTTCAGGCACTTACATTTTGCAAATTCAAAATCAAATATAACTCAAATTAATAATAATATAATCAACATGATGTCCTTATATATGTAAAGCAAAACAATTGCAGTATTGCAGAGATGCATGACTATCTTACTTTACTCTATACTTACTTGTGAAGGAGAAATAATAAAAAATTTAGCTTTTTTTTTATCTATTGTACTCCTTGTATTTCCTGATTAAGGATCATTTTGGCCTTCGATAGACCATAGGTTTGTATTTTGGCATAGGGAAACATGTTAGAAACTTAATTTACTTGTCAGATATTGTTGTAATGAATACCATTGAAATAATGTATTGGGTTGGCTGATATTTAAACAAGATAAAGAGGATAGGCTTATATATTTTCCATCTTGTTTTCCAATATGAGATACACTACCCCAAAAGCTAGCTCAAAGGCTGAGAGTGTCCAAGGCCTTATAAACTCCACATTAGTTGCTCATACAACCAATGTGGGATTATATATCTCAACATGCCCCCTCACGCAAAAGCCCTTAGGCTAGAAGGGTGGAAATTGCACAGGCCCAATTTTTGGTTTACCTTTTTGTGCTTTTTATTTTAATTCCACTTTAAAGTGGGGGACGACGAGGATCGAACTTGTGACCTTATAGTCACTCGAGCTCTGATAACATGTAAAGAACCTTGGGATACACTACCCCAAAAGCTAACTCAAAGGCAAAGGGAGAGAGTGCCCAAGGCCTTATAAACTCCACATTAGTTGCTCATACAACCAATGTGGGACTATATATCTCAACAATATACCTGGTATAGTGTAGCAGCAGAGCATTCAATGCAGGAGACAATTTCCTTGAACTGTTGTAGGAGCTGTGTCATGATACGCTCTATGCTCACTTCCTGACTTTCATCTCGTAAATCTAGCTTGCAACCAACCACAATTATAGGTGCTTTCACCTGTATCACAAAATAAATGAATAAATGAATAAATAAATAAGAATACTATTTGTTTGCCATTCATACTTTGTTCCTAATCAAATAAACGCCAAGCAAAATACACAAAACCATCAACCTCCAACTTCTGCAGTTCCGGGAACCAGTAAGAACTCAATCGCGAAAAGCTCGTTGGCTCATTGCAAGCATAAGTTAAAACCACGACATCCGCTCCTTTCAATTCTTCATTGCGCTTGCTTTGTTTTTCCAAGCTAGACAAAAAAACAACATTGGTTCATTCCAAGCATAATAGTGGCTTTGAAACTGTGACGTGTGAGTAACAAATTTCAGGGACACTACTCTATGAATATAATCTAATAAGATATTTTAAATCTGGCCATCAACAATCATCACATGAATATAAAAATATCCGTAACATAGACATAAGACATAAAAAAAGTTCAGTCAAGAGAATGCATATCGCACTTTGGGTAAAAAGAATTATTAAATCACATTCGATTCAGTTAAGTGCAGGGTTTATCATTAATTGATCAATTGTTTCATAAAAGTAAAATAGGATTTCTTCCAATTATTTTCAATAAAAATAATTTATGCAATTAATTATGCAAAGTTCGGTGTGTGGAGGACCTGGATGATGTGTCAATGACGCTAAGAGGAACGTTGTCGGGGTACAAGTCCGCCGGCAAGAAAGTGGGCGGAAGCACCGGCGGAACGGCATCGGGGAATGACTCCGATGCCATAGCATTTATAAGGCTTGATTTTCCGGTGCCTCGGTCACCGACGACGACGACTCGAACTGGACTACGACCAGCCAAGCTTGAGTGTTTTGCCATTGATGCGATGCGAGATCACAAAAGAAGCTGAGGAAATGATGGAACGTCAATAATCAAAGATGCAAATGGTGTTCAGAAGCATCCTCTCATCTTGAAATTCTTAAATTTCACACAGTTAAAATGTTATCTCTCTATAGTTGGCGCACGTCAATGCGTTCGATCCTCCGCGTTATTATTTTTGGGAAGGATCTCTATATTTCTATAGATATTCTCAATTATTTAATATATTACATATATACAAAAAATACAAAAATTTGATATCTCAGTATCGCGAGATTATATGAAAATTTTATTATTTCCCTAATCCCCTGTATCTTGTTACTTCTTACACTAACATTATTTTAACAAATTATAGTTATATTTCTTATTTTATGTAATGTTTTTATATACATATATCTTCTTTGTTTTATGTATAAATTCTATAGAATTCTTTTAGAAATAACAAAGAAAAAACGTAAGTATAATTGTATTTTGAAAAAAATAACACTGTGATTAGTGGTAATGCCAGGAAAATTCAGGAATATATATATATATATATATATATATATATATATATATATATATATATTATTTATTTTTTATTTTTTATAACAATATATATTTATTTTTACCTTTGTATGGTTATGATTTCTCATATTTATGCTTTCACATTAAATATGAAAGCATTAAATATGGAAAATCATAACCATACAAAGATGGAAATAAATATAACTATTTGATCAACATAACGATATAACGGTGAAATTGATTGATAGTAACACTAGTTGGTTTATATATATATATATATATATATATATATATATATATATATATATATATATAAAAAGCCCTTGGACTTGAAGCGTGGATATTGCACAGGCCCAATTTTTGTTTACCTTTTTGTGTTTTTTAATTAATTCTACTAGAAAGTGGAGGACAGTGAGGATTGAACTCGTGACCCTATGGTCACGGAGGCTCTGATACCAAGATAAAAGTTGGTATCTACATTCTTGCTCATTTCATTGAAATATTGCCCATAAATAGGCTCAGAATTACAAATTACAAATAAATTTGAATTGACGACAATATGTAATCAACTCGTAAAATTGTAACTCCTAATAAAACGCAATCAGCTCCTATTAAATACAAAACACGGTCAACTCCTATTAATTATAAAACACAATCAACTCCTATTAAATACAAAACACAACCAACTCCTATTAAATACAAAATGCAATCAACTCCTATTAAATACAAAACGCAATCAACTCCTATTAAATACAAAACGCAATCAACTCCTATTAATTATAAAACACAATCAACTCCTATTAAATACAAAACACAACCAGCTCCTATTAAATATAAAATGCAATCAACTCCTATTAAATACAAAACGCAATCAACTCCTATTACATTAAATTCAAAATTTCAAATTTCAAAATTCAAATAACCTCCAATATATTGACAAACTTTTTTTTTACAAACAAACCTTAAACCCTAAACCCCTATATCTGACCGATAATATTTTATTCAATAGTGTATTATTGGTCAGATATGATAACTTTATAAGAGTTTATAAATAAAAATTTGTAAATATAATTTTTTTCATATATATATTAATTTATTATTTATGCGTAACTTTTGGATGGAGAAGAAAATGAAATGAAAAAAATGTAAAATGAAATGGAAAAGTGAACCTTTTTACTTGTAACGTATGGGCTTTGCCTTTTTGGTAAAGGACACAACATTCCATCATACCTAATTTGGGGTATAGATCCACTTTTTTATTGCTTTCTTAAAGCATGATATCAATCCGACTTTACCTTCAGTAACATTTTACAAATCAAACCGAATCGGGTAAATAAATAAATTAAATTGTAAATTAGTGATATTTTCACTCAGTGTTTTAAAAATCGGCTCGGATCGGCCGAGTTGACCCGGGTCTCGTGATCCGATGGATTTCTATGTCCGAGCGATCAATTGAATTGGTTCTGCAGTCAACTCGATTTGGACCGATTGACCGGCCGAGACCCATCGACTCAGTGACTCGAGTTAGACTGGTTGACCCTCTCTTTTTTTCATTTTTTTTTTTGTAAAACTTTTTTTTTTGGTAAATCTTTTTTTTTGGTATTGAGATCATGTTCATATTTTGTGATAAATATAATTAAAAGTAAAGTGAAAATAATAAGGTATTTTGGATTAGTGCACTTTGTTCATGTAATTTAGTTGCATCTTATAATGATATCAAGAAATTAAGTGGAGATAAAAATTGATAGTCTTATCTCAACAGTGGACACTTTTTTTAGTGTATATTTTATGCTTACTATTTGTTACCATGATTTAGTTTATCTGTGTTATGTCAAGGCACAAAAGGTGCATTTAGCTTACATTCAATGGCGGACCCAAAAAAATGTATTTATTTCTGCATATTTAGTGAAGACCCCCAAACTTTTTTTTTTTAAGAAAATTTTAAATGCATTAGAAAATAAAAGAGAATTTGCGCTCCTCATTACCATTAACACGTTTGGAATTGTTATAGAGACAATTTATCTCAAATGTTCCTCTTTTACTCCGCAAAAAAGGATGAAGTATTTATTTTATAACCCCACATTCATAATATTTTCCTTTTAACTTTTTTAACTAAAATTAATTTTTTTGTTATTATAATAACAAAGGCTAGAATGTTCCTAGAAATTTGCGTTCACAATAAAGATTTCTACCGTAGCATAATTTTATCTACATATCGACAAAGTTAAATATGAATCTCGCTTATAATAATGCTTTCTTATGTTGGTTTGACTATTGAAATACATATTATTTCAAAATGCATATCCATTTTTTCTAATGAACATTGAACATATCTTTATGGGATGCACATGTATAAGCAACATGCTTTATGAGTAATATGTCCTGATATCTGATCGCAATTCTCTCTCTTTTTTTTTTTTTACAAAAATTTATTACTGCATTTTGCAGTCATTTGCACTAAAATAGGTCCGCCATTGCTTACATTGCAATTTTAATCCAATGTTAGGATATGGTCTAGAGCTAGAAGCCTAGAAGTATATAATATTTGCTATCATTGAAAACCAATTTATTTTTTGAAGCTCATTGATAGTTTTTTTTATGTGAATTTTTAATATAAGTAATATGTTTATATTTTTTTAATATGTGAATAGTAAATCCAGTTGAACTCGGTTTAACCAATGACCTAGTGACCCAGTACCTCGACCGAGTTGATGACCGGTCCAAGTTTTAAAACACTGCAGTTTCACTAATATTATTCAATTAGACCAATTTAACTATATGATTTGATGAACTTACAGTTAGTCCATTGTACAAGGTCCAACCATTGATTCAAGAAACTCGTAATCAACCAAAATTATGACCCAATAAGTATGACCCAATTATTGAAAGAAACAGTAATTTGAAATATAACAAATTACGATAAAATCTATGTCCAAATGAAGCAGAAGATATGATTATGATTTATTTGATAAGAAAAAGAAAATAACATATTTGGCATGATTTGAGATATATTTTGAATGATTTAATTATAATTATTTATTTATTTTTAGAAATTAATTACTGTTATATTTATTTTAGGAAGTTTTCTTATTTTTAGGATTTTAAATTTTGAATTTTAGATTAATTTGTAATTAGTCTATAAAAGGGTGCTTACGACCCTGATTCTAGGAGTCAAATTTTTTGTTATTTTGATAATTAGAAATTGAGAACCGGAGTATTACCCTTTTATGAAGTTATAACTTTCTGTTTAGCCACTTTTCTATATGCTTTTGGCATTATGATCCAAAAAAAATTCTAGTTTTATTGGCTGTAGTAAAAGAAAGAGATGGAATTTCGGTTTTATTGGCTAAAATTTCATTTTATAATTTATTTCTTCATATACAAAGCAGATAATAAAGCTTAACTCCAAGGGGTGAAGCAACTTGGGGCCACTAATATGTAGAAACCTTAAGAAATTTATGGGAAGTTGGTCAAGTGTGCCAACATTTCTGCATGCCCCACTGTTTTCATTGATTCTCAATCGAGCAGGGGATGAAGAGCATTCCCAGTATCCATATACAACATATAATTTTTCAGTTTTTTTTTTTTTTTTTGGTAGCTACCCTACTGAGTTTGGTTAAGAGAACAACTTTACATAGTGTTGAAATTCATTACCTGGCCTGCCCAACTCATCAGAGAGAGGAGTTTTGGTGACCTAAACTATGTGCGTCTGGATATATATCTACACAGTTTTTAGTTGGCTCATTTCCTGATTCGGTACCTAAATGTATCTATTTTTCTCAACATACTTGAGCGAAAAATAAAAACCTCTTTCACCAACCATAATCTGTAGCATTAAGTACATTATAATTCACGACAGTTCTTAAAATTTTGTCTCTTTTATTAAATTTTCTGACTTGATCTCATTAATTGTAATAATAACCTACTTCACAGTTCACACAAACCAAGCTGATTATATTTAGTATATAACTAGAAATATTCAAGAAAAGGTTAAGATTGACCTTAGTCCTTATCATGAATTGACTATCTGAATAAGGAATAGAGTAGGGTGCTTTATGCTGGTTTGTATGAGAAGATTGAGCATTTGAGCCCCACATGTTATCATCAATTCACCACATCCTCCAAACTCACCTAAACTATAATCACTTCTTAGTCTTTTGTTTGGTGAGAGAAAAGGAAAAGTATACCCCCCAAAAAAAGGCAGAGAACCGAACCGTAGTGTTTTTTATTGATGCAACCCTGATGATTGTTTCATGCCTCTTTCAAAGATGTTGGAAGGATTTGGTAAGGTGGTTAAGAATAATTGCTAATACATATGTAAGGTTTAGATAACATCTGCGCCAGTTTTTTTATTCCTCAATAAATTATGGATAATATATTTTTTTGGTTCCCTTAGTCAAAAGTAAGGCTTGGATGATTACCTGCATCCCTTCATATAACAATTTGACATTCATAAAATAATTGTTAGAAAATAATACAATGAGTCAATGAGAGGCTTTGACCAAAATATACATGAGGTTATGGAGCAAGCAGTAGAGCATTACGTGAACTATATAACTGCAACCACCAGAGAGAGAGAGAGAGAGAGGGGGGGGTTTACCGAACCCAACCTACGTCCACGTCCACATCCATGAAGGTTTCTAGTTTGCACTTTACAGAAATGTCCCTCGTGTTGTTAGAAGCACTGTTATCAGTGCGGCTCTAATCGGAACAAGGTGAACTCGGTTCGAGTCAAATATTGGATTAGTTAAACCCGATGAAAACCGGTTTGAAAGTTTAATTAAAATTGGTGACTCAATCGGTCATCAAAATCAGCGGATCATGTATTTTTATATAATTTTTTTTTTCAAGATAAGTAATTTCAAGATTGTATTGTCTTATCTTAAAAAAGTGTGAAACTTCTTTCCAAATTTTGTGTAGTATTATTTGATAGTAATATACTCTCTTATAGTGACCTTAAGTTTTAGTTTCAAAGATGAAAACAATTTGTGAAATAATAGATTAAGAGAATGTGACATATTGATTCCTTACAAATTCATTTTTATGGGAAGAGTTGTTGGTAAATGTGCTATAATTATTAAATATGATTAGTTGAGAATATTTGGTAAAAGAATAACTATATATGGTTACAAGATACTTGAATTTTAATTGTTTTTTTTTTCTTTTACAATATGTTATATGTGGTTATTATATATGACTTTTTTTATCCTTACAAAAACTATATATGTTGTAGCCCTGCATAACAATTTCTTGCATGTATTGAAGTATTTTTATGTATAAAATATAAATTTTTATGTACTAACTCAGATCATGTGGTTCAACCAATGACTCACTAATTGAAGTAGTGATCCAATATCTTAACCACATCAATCAACAAGTCGGGTTTGATAACATTGATTAGAAGATACTATAGTACCTGACATGAAATAATAACCAATCACCCTCTAATGTGATTTGAAAAGCTTTGACATGAAGAATAGTTCACTAGATAAATAAAATTAAACTAGTTACCTGCATGCATGTATATAATTTCAGAGCAGAAAGAGCAAATTGCAAGGGCAAGATAGTAATTTTGATGTTGTCTACTAGCTTAAAAAATTATTTTGCTGAAAAAGCAGAGAAAAATTTATTTAATTTTTCTCCCACTCCCTAACACACGTAAGTTGTTTTAGTTAAGCTGCAGGTCAGAAGTTGGAGCTTAAAAAGCCTCTCCCTCCCTCTCTTATTATTCCAGAACGAGAAAGCAACTCATTGTCGTCAAAATCAATAACAAGAAGCTTTTTTTCTCTTCCGTACATGGCTGCTTTTCATGATGATGGTGAAGTTGGTTTTGAAGAAGGAATGCTTTGGTTACCCTCTCATGTTCTGGACGAGGCATGTGACTATAAGGTGGTTAGTTAGTGACATGGCGCCTTCTTTTCTCTTCTTCATTTATTCATCATTTTGCTTCTTATCTCATTAGTTTCTCTTGGTCTTCCAAATAAACAACTTGGTCTTCAACTCTTCATTTAAATCTGAGATTAATTGGATTGCTCTTTCTCTATTTCTCTTTTATACATGATGTGTGTACATTTTTATCTACTTTTCTGGGTTAACAGTTGGTTAGTGTTACATTTAAAGTCGAATGTTTGATTGAATTGATATGATGTATATTTGGCTTCTCTGACAGGGTCTTATCATGTATTTAATTTATAACATATATTGTTCAGTAATTTGAGTATCAAATCGGTTTTACATGTTCAAATCTTCCTACAGGTATATATGAGGAACCGCCACAAAAAACAGCAGCAGCAGGGCAACCACAAATTGCCTCGGGAACCACACTCACAGGTACTGTTTTATATAAATCCATTCAATCATTCTCTGTGCCTCTTGTTGTGGCTGCAGGAGAAACCCCAATAAGATGCAATGTTTATGTAAAAGGTTTTTTTTTTGAAATGATCTTTATGTAAAAGTTTGGTACGGGAATGTGGGCACAATATGAAGGATCGAATTAGTTACTTTTAGGCATTAATTAGGCTTTACTTTTTAATAATTTATACTTTAAAGATGAGAGATGACAGATATTCCAAAGATGAGTTAGGCACTTGAGCTGCAAGTGAAATAGTGAAATACTGATTAGGAAGGCGAATATTGTTCTATTTAATCAAGCATCATCATCACATCATAGGCCTTTTAATTACCCACTTTAAACTAAGGAGATGCACCTACCTTAGGAAAACAACTTCGTAACTATAGGCACACCAATTATTAAGTATAACACAAGTATTATAACTATATATTTCAGGGAGTACATAATTATAATATTAAAGTTAATTTTTTTTTTCTTCAGTATATATGTTAGCCAATGTGTAATTATCTCATTGGTGGAATACATCTGCTATATATAAGAGTATTTTAGAAACTTCCCTTTAGTGGAAAAAGAGAATATGCTTTTGCATTTCGAATTTCTTTCCTCATAGTTTTCTTTTGAAAAAAAAAATGTTCTTTTGTTAAAGTTGCACGCTGCAGATATTCCGGGCATTTTACCTTTTCTTAAGCTTCTCTTCTTCCCTTCCTAGAGCAGTCGACGTGGCTTAAAATTTAGCTCCCTCTATAAAGGGATATAATGAAAGGATATATATATTAACGTGTCAGTTGAAAACTTTCTCAATCAAATTAGTCTGATTTATTTAAATATTCAAAAGATGCATACATATATCAAACAAACCTACACGTACATAACTTGTGGCTTATCAGGAAAGTTATAAATCATGCAATATGAAATTAGATATGTCATTACGCATGCCGTGTTGGATCACAGGTATAATCAATCTGCTATGACGCATGGAGGCTTGTGGAATGTGGATTCATGATTTAAATGGAAAAAAGGGGTGTAAGGATGAGATTGTTGTTAGCTGCTGCTAGAGAGTATTGGTTAAGAAGTAGTATTTTTTTTTTTTTTTTGGATATTAGGTTAAGAAGTAGTATTTGATATTATAAAAAAAAAAAATATATTAGACAATTTTATCTGATACAATATACAAAAAAAAATGAGTGGGAGAGAGAAAGAAAAAAGTGGATCCCACGTAATTTTTGTGTATGTACGAGAGAGGTAGTTAAATATTTTTAAACCTTTAAAATATTATATATTTTTACTTTTGATTTAAACCTTAATATTTTAATTCCTTAACCAATGTAACGAGTTCAGTGCCTTTAAGAAAACCGGATCAGTATTTAATTGTAATTTCCTCTCAGTCAACGCGTGGTGTCTCTGCACTATGCAACATCGATCCACGAATATAGCAATTAACACGGAAAAATAAACTGAAAGATTAAACAGACTATTATGTATTTTAGTCGCACTTAGATGTGGACTTTATCTGCTGAATTAATTTTCCTGCTTATTTACCATTTCATATACCCAAATGATTTTTTTTATTTTTTATTATACTGAAATGTATATCAACTTCAGTACTCAAAATCTACTTCAAGATCATCATATCAAAGGCCTAAGCATGCCAATGGTGGGCCTGGAATGCAAGCTATTTTCTTAGGATCTGGGCAGAGATCAAGTGGTACCGGCGTGTTCTTACCCCAAACTGCAGGCTCTAAACCAACCAAGAAACCAGGTAGCATACCTAGTAATTTCCTTGCAATGAAGCGTATGATATATTGTGCCTGCATAACTTAAAAATAAAGGCCATGCTATTCTACACTCTAGGAAATCATAGCTTGCTCCAATATTTCATTCATATTTTTTAATATCTCAATCTTATGTACAAATAGGATTCAGCAATAAATAATATATAAACTCAAACATTGAGGTAGTTATGAATCATATTATTCTTCAAGATTGACGTGATGGTCCATAAGGGTGCAATAATTTCTCACCTCCAAAGTCGGGTTACATTTTCTATTACCGGTTATCATATTGAATTAATTAACGACTTATTTATTTAGATTATCAACAAGCTAAATCAATCATTTGTCGAGCTAAATTATTGTGGAGCTAATGTAATTAACCATTTCACATATCACATTCTTGGGTAGTTGGGTTGTTTTTAGGATAACATTCCAAAGAAAAAGAAGTTAATTAATTTATAGATGCATGTAAATGGAGTTGTGTTCTTTCTCAGTCACATATAATTATGTTTTAAAAATTCATTTTAACAATTTACTTAACGCTTTTATGTAAACAGGGTGTATATATGGGTACTTATCTATCAAAATAATTTTACAATAATGTGATAATTATTTATTAAAAATAATATTTAAACTTTAATTTTATCCTCAGCATAAGAACTTGAATTAATTTTACAATTTTTTTTTTGGAATCACATATATTAACTGCTCTCTAAACACTTGTTATAATTATAACGTAGACTATATATTTATATCCAATAATTGCTATAACGAGAAAACTTTCCCTAAAAACATAGAACTTTACAAGGAGAGAGAAAAAAAGTAATGCGTACATAAGAAAGTCATCTACATCGATCTATCCCAAAATGGCAAAATGTCTCGAACGAACCGCAACAAGTAACATGGATCATAGTTAAGGTATTGTCAAATGCTATTTCTCTGGCCATCCTTTTCAAATGGTGTTATGCACTTTTATCTTTTTCTTGTAATAATTTGCAGAAAGTCCTTACGATTGTTTTGTTTTTGTTTTTTCAGCTTGCGCTCCTGTCCTCCTTCCGGCACGAGTTATTCAAGCTCTAAATCTCAAAGTGCACGCATTAGGCTTGCAGATTTCACCCCCTCAAGGTCTCTTAAATATCCAAGCCTTAAAAAAATTACATGTCATATTCTTATAATAACTTATATTTAAATATTTAAGATACATAATATTTTTAAATTTTCTTCTTATAAAATATATCCTAAATTTTAATTTATTTTAAATATGATATTAAAGGAAAGTTCTATAATGCCATGCATTTACATCTTATTGCAGTTCCCAAAAATAACCCAAGACGCGGAGAAGTACACAGCAATGATTCAACAAAAAAGAATAATGATCAGAAAGATGCTCTGAAACAATGCAGTGTAATTTCTCAGAGTCAAAGTTCTTCTCAAGACATATTTCTTCCAAAGGAATGGACTTACTAGCTTCTGATTGGAATAACAGGAACTGCTATTGTATGCATGCAGTAAATTAAAGACAATTCCATCATAAAAGCTGGGCTGGTATATTATTTGTGCTGCTTAATTTGAAGCTCTGATCATGTAATATTGTTAAATTAAATAATAAAGGCACAGAGGTATCGTTTCTATATTGCATGATTTTTTAATATACTCAAATAATAAACGGTAGAACCTGATTTTTCTCCATGGGAATAAGAGAAAAACATTTTGTTTGATGCGAAGTTAAATTTTTTTAAAAAGAATAAGAAGAAGAAGAAATCATACAAAAATTATTTTTAAAATCGAGACATGTGCTTCCAATTTTAACTTCATTACATGTAAAATCGTAATTAAGTGTATTATGAAATAAATTTATAAAAATATTTATATGTTTATATTTTATGAATAAATTACGCACTCATCTATTTATTGAGATGCTTAAATCACATTGCCCTCTCATCTATTTTAAAATAATTATTTTCTGCCAAGTTCAAAAAATAAATAAATTATTTTCTAATGAAAATGTGTTTTCAGATAATTATTTTAATTATAACTAACTTTCTACATGCAGATGTTATAAAGGATTAAATTTAAATTCTTTCTACCAAAAAAAAAGTTTGAATTTTAAAACAAAAAATTATTAAGAACATCCCTTGTCACTATAGTACTTGAAAAAATAATCTCCCGTCAATAATTATTGAAATATGTTATTCAAAGTAAAATTAAAAAATAATAATAATTACAAATCATGGTAGTTTAGTTAGTTCTTATGGACCAGAGAAAGGCCCACAGTAGCAAGAAGCCCAACCAACATCAGCCCAGAGGTAAGCTCTATAAACAGGACTAAAGACCACAGGTATGACTGATCTCTCGAACCCTATTTCATTCAAACACGACAGTGCACACACACTCTCTGGTTAAAGCCATATAGTGTGTAGCGATCTACTGTCTCCAAGATACCTAATTTATAGGTATCTAGAGAGAAAATCCTAGATCCAATATCAAAGACCCGACCGTAGGTCGGGCATATCTGCTCAAGGCAGAACATTAGTATATAAGAGTTGAGTAGATGGTAGAAAGATCTCAATTCGATCCCACTAATATAACCTTCGAAAAAGGAGTAAGATCTTAATTTCAGACTCACCTTGTACTTAGATTAGTCCTATAGACGCTTTAAAGAACCAAAGTTTGTGGAGCTTGTGAAGATACTCAGAAAATCTACTCGTCTCAAGGAGATAAATCTGATTGATATATATATATATATATATATATATATATATAATATAAAAGACCTAATTTACAATAAAATTAGTAAAAACTTAAAATAAAACTTCACCTAAAATAAAAAATAATAAAAGAATTTGGTATTTATCTTTTTAAAGTACATAAAATTATATCTTTTTAAGTAAGAAAAAATACACAATAAAAATCATGAGAAGAAAGTGAGTAATTTTTTTTAATTTAAATTCTAAACAAAAAAAATAACTAATTTTATCTAAATTGACAATTCTTAAACATTTTTGGCATAATAAAAAAGGGTTATGTTTATCTCATTTTACATGAGATAAACAACTTTCCTACACACAAAAATAAGTTGGATCCCATCACTCTTTTTTTTTCTCTTCTCTTATTTGTGGATCCCACTTATATTTTTATTTCTATAATACGAGGTAAATTTTTTCCAACAAATAAGAAAAATATATCCCAATAGAAAAAACTCACTTAGCAATTGGTATCTGTCATCTCAACTACCATACAGGCCAATCACGACAGGCCACGTATCAAGTTAGCATATTGTGACGTGTCCAATGAAAAGTTTCCGAGGGGTTGTGTAACTAGAGTGTGTGAACTGTGAAGCAGAAGATCCAGGTACCCGGATGAGGGTTTAAGTGTTGATTAAAGCACCATCCGGTTCGCTCTCGCTACTTTCCGAACTCACTCACCCAGTGTTCGGAAATACAGCCATGGAAGCAACGCGATTCTCCTCCAATCACTTCCATCCACACAGCTTCCGAACCAAACTCAACGCACTTCCAGGTTAGTTCTCAGGCTGTTTGTTAAAAAGAAAAAAAACCTATTCTATAAAGATATAAAGCATTTTAGCTTCTTATTGAATATTAATTCTGCAACCTAAGTTAAAACGTGTTAATTATGACAGGTAGAAGAGGAACTAGGGTTTCTCTTTTCACAATCCCCGCATTCAGCACAAGGAATTTTCCTTCGCTGAACCGGTCTTTGTTCTCGAAGGCGAACCGGAGCCTTTCTGTTAACTTCTCCGATCGGCTTCGAAGTGACTATATGCGCGTCGAGGCTCCGAACAGTGAGATTTCGAATCAGGAAGTTGTACCGGCAACTCATGGTGACGACGGGGAAGCGGTTGTTGCATCTCCGGGTGCTGATAACTTGAGAACCACCCTACAGTTAAAACCCAGAATGTACAAAAATAGGTTTCTGAACTTCGTGCGTTTGAGTTCTGTACTTAATGGTGCTGCTGAATCGTTCTTCAAGAGTGAGATTAGGAGAAGACTGTTCGTGACTGCTGTGTTAATTGTAATCAGTCGTGTTGGTTATTTTATTCCTCTTCCTGGATTTGACCGAAGGTTGATACCGCAAGACTACATGAGCTTTGTTTCAGGATCTGTTGGTAAGTTAAATCCTTTAATGCCAACCACACACACTTACATTGATTTTGACTTTGTAGCTCTTGGAACATACGACCCCGTTTTTGGTGCTCATTGGCAATTTAATGATATTCATTTTAAATATCAGAACCACAACTGAATGGAAAAAATATGAGGAGAAATGTTTGGGTCAATTTTGCCAACGGCTTTAAAACTTAAATTTGTCCCGAGATTTCTGATCCCAGAATCAGCTGTTAGCTCAAGGTAGCTTGTGAAGTGATAAGGAAAATTTTGTATAGTTAATCTACTACTTTTGCTGGCTAATTTTTTGCTTGGGTATTTTTCTGAGTTTATACATATGAACAGTCATTCATGTAGCTTATGGCAGATGAACTTGGTGATTTTACCGCTGAGCTCAAGCTATCTCTTTTCCAGCTTGGAATCAGTCCTCAGATAATAGCGTCCATTATAATGCAGGTATTCCCCCTTTATTTATTGAGTTTGTTAGACAGATATTTGTTGCGAAATTTTACTTTCTGTTAATTTGAAGGCCTAAGGAAGATTAACTGCCTTTAGTTATATATAATTTTCAATTCTTTGATCTTTTTGCTAGAGTGTTGCGTCATCATGATGTATGTGATACTATTATAAATGAAACCAGTGGCGTTCCTCTTTTAAAACGAAGTAGACCTTTGAAAAAATTGCGCTCAGTACTTTTGATTACATAAGGAAATGATTCTTTTCGTAAATAAGTATCTTTGCAAGAAGAATGGTCAAGTACTTGGCTGTGAAGAGAACCGAGGTTTTCTATCTGATACCCATTTTTCTGGTATATGCTCTATTTATTTTTGAAGTTTTCACCTTTTATGAACTGCATTTATTCAAAATATTCATTTGCAGGTATTCTGTCATATCGTTCCTTCTCTTGTAAAGCTGCGGAAAGAAGGTCTGGATGGGCATGAGAAGATTAAGAGTTATATGTGGGTCTATTTATCCATCTTGAGCAGTGAGATAATTTCTTGCTACACATTGTTTTTGTAGTTCCCTTCATCTGATTCATGATTTAATGAATTTCAACTAATGATTTGTTCTGCAAATTTCAGATGGTGGATGTCACTTGGCTTTGCAATTTTGGAAGCTCTAATAGTTGCTTGCTACTCACTTCCATATTCAATTTACGGTGCTAGTTATAGGTAATCCGCATCGAAGAGTACTTTCCAAGCATGATTTCATTCATCTAACAAAGAGTTGAACTACCAATGTTTTCCTCACAAGTTGATGCCATAAGTAGGGTTAAATAGATGATTTTCCATATATTTTTATCCAAACAGATGTCTTTAAATAATCTTAAGACATAGCAGAGCCGTTGGCCTTCTTAACATAGGAAATTGCCATTTTAAACTTTGTTTCTTTATTTTTTAGCTTTATGATCTGGATCTCAGTCTCTTTGCTTGTTTATCATAATTTTACTGAGTCACAGATATGTTGGAACGTCTGTTGCCCCAAATTATTTCTGTTGAAATATTTTTGTTGTGAAAATGTTACTTTTGCAGGGTAAAACATGTACTGGTGACAACCCTTTTGTTGGTTTGTGGTGCAATGACTATTACATGGATATGTGATACCATATCAGAATCTGGATTTGGTATTCTTCTTACCACTAAACTGTTACTTTGTCATGCTATATAGATTGTGCATTTATAAGTGTGTAACCTATTCTGCTATAGAAAGAAGTTTCTTTCACTTGGTATCCATTGCCCCTCCTTGCAAAACCTAGCATTTTGTTTTATACAATTTAATAGATAGGAGAAAATTGTGTTTCGAAACTAATAGCATCTCTTTCACCCATTTCCTACTTTTAAGTTTTTTTTAATTAATTATTTACAAATTACAGTTTTAAAGCCAGTCTTTTTTTTTTCAAAATTTGAAATTCAAAGAGAGAATTGCCACAAAATTAATCATTTAAATAAAATTTAATTTTACAAACCTGTATCAAGGGTCCTGTTGCTAGTTTGGTAATGATAAAAAATGTAGAAATCTTTGATTCTGATAAGTTGAGGTGTTCAAAATCAGAAACCAGAATTAATCTGACAATGTTAATGTTAGCTGATCTGGTTGACTTCTTCATTGTTTTGTCTCTCACACTGCAAAAAGATGGGCAGATGTTGATTATTTCCTATACTTGGGTAATTTCAAGGACACACCTGACCTGATGATTGGTGTCTGCTTTTATCATTCAATTCATTCTGTTGTGACTGATAATTCCTTCTTCAGGTCAAGGTTCGTCTCTTATCGTATGTGTGGGGATACTGACGGGTTATATGGAGACATTACACAAAATGCTTACTCAGCTTTCAGGTACATGACAGGATGTAAATGAAATCTTTTGAAATTTTATGCCATCTCTTGTGTTTCTCATTGTCAAGATTATATTTTGACATATTAAAGTAACATGTCTGGTATCTGGAAAATTGTGTTCGGACTCATTACTAAAATTTTGAGTACTTCAGTTTTTTTATCTTTTCTGAGATGCATATTCAAATATTTTTTTTTTTTTTTTTCTTTTGAAAATGACAGAATCTATCTCACATTTAAATATACGTAACCAAAAATAAAAGAAAAAGAAAAAAAAAGGACCAAAAAGATGGGGAATAAATAATTTTGGAGGAACTTTTGCATTGCCAACTGATTTGACCAGCATACCAATGTAAGTCAGATAGCGGTTGAAATGTGGAATTCACTTAAAACTGCAATTTAGTTTGGCCTGTAGGAGCATGTATACTTAGAATAATATTACAAGGATGTTATACAATTTGAATCAGGTGAAAATATCTAAAGTTATATTATGATATTTATCCTGTGGAATCATTTGTAACTTCATTGATTCATTTTTTTTGATATTGCAGTGAGTGCCGTGAGTTGGTGGCCATATGTGCTTGCAGTGATTGGCATCTTCACTGCAGTCACTATGTGGGCAGTTGTAGTAACTGAAGGTTGCAGGAAAGTAAAGCTTCAGTACTATGGTTTCAAACTTGCTTCCGCTGCAAGGTAATGTATTGTTTGTCCAGACAATTCAAACTTGTTCTCCTCCTTGAAAGTTAACATTGGTGATATGATTGTTCATGAGGAATGTTGTTCTGCACCTCTGGTTGAGAAAACAGTACATTCAGTTTTCCTGTACTGTACCTCCAGTGGCTTGGATATCAACTTATATTGGACTTAGTTTATATATTTAATAGTATTTACTGTCGTTATTTATTATGGCAGATAGTTTGTATGTCTTTCTGAAGGATTAAATGATAATTTTAAGTGTATTGATGCTGACAATTGATAATGGCATGTTATATAATTTGAAACAGGGAGCAATCACCAATTACTGAAGTGGAGCCCTATATTCCTTTCAATATTAATCCAGCAGGGATGCAACCTGTTCTTACCACCTCTTACCTCTTGGCATTTCCAAGCATTCTCGCAGGGTTTGTATATTCTGTTTCACAATTTAACTGGCATTCTTATTTCGACTTCATGATTGAAGTTTTTGGTAAATTTGTTATACATTTCTGTTATATATGTTGTTAGTGCCTTAGCTTGCTCGCTTTTCTCTCTCTTTTACTCTCTGTTTGCTAGGTAACACATTTGCCTGTTGCTTGTCACACTGTGTAAAAAGTGATGTTTCCTTTTTTATTTGCTATTTTTTTGTGAGGTTTGATTTCTAAATTGGCTATTAATTGGCAGTCTGCTTGGGTCACCTTTTTGGGGGCATGTCAAGGAGATATTGAATCCTGAAACTTCTGTTGGTGCTGAGCCGTGGGTCTACTATTGCATATATGGTTTTTTTGTCTTCCTGTTCAATATATTTGATATTGTAAGTTTCTTTTAGCTGCTATTATATTATTGTACATTCTACTTGGTATAAGGATTTTCATTCTACTTGGTATATTATTAAACAATACCGGATTTTCATTTTAATATAAGCTATTAGTTTTACAAAAATCTATGAAAAGATAGTACATGGATTCTTCTGAAGGCTGCAGCAATCTGAAGTCAGATTCCGGTCTGAAATTAAAACATTAGAATAAAAACTTAATTGTTTAATTCCTGTTGATTAGTCAAATGAGTTTTGACAAAGTTTCCATAATAGTTCCCAAAATGTCACTGATGTAACCCATTATTTCAAAATTTTAGTTACCAATACATATTTGACTGCTAATTGTGCAAAAATTGCAGCCGAAATTTGCAGTGTACAAGGGTAAAAAGTAAAACTAAGCTACACTGTTATATGGAGCAAAGTGGTTGTTCCTGGGTCCTTTTGTAGGCTAAATTAGATTTCAAGTGAGAATATGTAACAAGGGAAAAGGATACCAAAGCTGTTACTTATGTATCCATGCAATGATCTGAATTCTCAGCTGCTTATTCTGATTATTAACTTTCAACACAATTGAAAACACATGCATTGTAAATCTGTCGAATTCTTCATTTGATGCACCATTAAATTGTTTCCACAATATATTAAATATCAGAATGACTTGTATGTGTCTTGTAAATAGCCTTTTATATGTTTATTGTGCAGGCTAACTTGCCAAAGGAAATTGCTGATTACTTAAATAAGATGGGTGCAAGAATACCAAACATAAAGCCTGGGAAGGCTACTATAGAATACCTCACAAAGGTTCAGGCATCCACACGATTTTGGGGTCTGTTACTGGTTAAAGACTCTAATTTTATTTTCAGCCTCATTTTGTTGTCCTTCTCTTGTTACAATGTTACTTGATGTTAATTCATTACTTTGTGGAAAATTTGCAGGGGGCCTATTGTTAAGTGTTTTGGCCATTACTTCAAGTGTTCTTGATCACTATTTACGGCGTATCAATGCTGGATTTGCTATTGGTTTTACATCTGTTCTAATTATTGTAAGTGCAAGAAGGGTTCCTGTACTTGTACTTTGCACGTGAACTCATTGATAATACATATAATTAGGCAAGAAATTCATGCATGCCAGCTTCATTTATCTGGCTTGAATTGCTTTCCAAGTAATTTCAATTTGGGAGCAGAAAATTAGCCTGTTTTGTGGAGTCATTTACCATATATGTCACTAGTATCCTGACAGGTAGTGTTGTAGTAATTTATCCTTTCTACTATTTTCATCACCCAAAAAGATTGAGTCATTTCCATAGGGTATTAGTGGATTTAGTTCTACTCTTTCCCCTCTACAGTAAATAATGAGTTCGGTTCAACTGTCATACTTCTATATACGGTATTGAAGATTTGGAATAGACTTTCTTTCAACACAAACCATCACGTGCTTTGATCAACTGCCTAGTTTGTTTTCCAGTTTCGCTGAGCTGCCCTTGGTTTTTTTGGTCCAGGTTGGTTCCATTATTGAACTTAGAAGATCATATCAAGCATACAATGTGATGCCAAGCTTAAGCAATGCTTTGAGACGTTATGGTGTATAACTTAAGGAAAATATATGCCGTCATTTTGCTGTGACAGTTTATTTAAACCTCGAGGATAACTCTTTGGTCAGCATTGGTAAGTAATCTAAATATTCCTCTGTACAGATTTTCCAATTGTGATAATTGATCAGGATTGCCTATTGAAAATATTTCCAGGAAGCTCGGTTTTTTGGGGACACTACAATCCAGTTTGTGGGTCTTCGAGTATTGAGGTCAGCTAGCATTGCTAGTTACGAGGTGCTAAGTGATGCTTGTTGGTACGTGGTAGTAGCTGATTCGGAAGCCTTGTTTCCTGATATTCTTTCTGGAAGGTGTTTGTTTTGATGGATATAGGAAACTATTTAGTTAAGATTATGGTTATAGGCTGCAGCTGAGATTTGTACAGGAAATTCTCGTGTTGCAGACGTGAAGTGTAGTATAAAAACGAGGTACTTGGATATAGGAGGTCAATTGCCTTCATAACCCCCCCCCCCCCCCCCCCCCCCCCCCCCCCAAAAAAAAAAAAAAAAAACAAACCACCCACCCCAAAACAAAAACAAAAATATAAAATTGGCCTCAATGATGATTGATGGGGGCAATAGCATTGTTGTGACGAGAGACTCACCATCAGCTTTTTAAGCTGTATGATATCCGCCTTGTATTGATCCACAAGAGCCTTTGAGCTCCTTGAAAGAGAACTGCCGTTGGGCATCCTTCTATGGAACTTAAAATTTCTTTTACTTCGACTCCCGAATCTTACTCCGTTTTTGTCTCGAGTAACGAGTTTAAGACAAGACTATGTAACTTAGGTTTATTCCAATCGGAGACCTGACTTGAGACCCGTAGACTTTAATCCTTTTAATTTGCTATTCTAATCTTTTTACTTACTCATCAGCTGTTATTGTACAAATGGCTCTAACCAAACTTGTGGCACCGGCCATTAACGATTTTTCGATGGAATTATTGATTATTAGATTGCTCATTCAATAATTATTCAAAAATCAATATTATTGTTAAGCAAAGATACATAGATAATTATATCCAAAAAAAAGAAAAAGATACATAGATAATGTTATCATGCAATCTTAAGAATTTTGCCAAATACCTTGGGCATGAAATTTCCTTTGAACGCTTTTAATATGGGTTTGACCGACCCAAATGCCAAACTAAACACGCTCTCATCAATTATCATTAAATTAAAAGGCCGTTGGTTTTGCATTTTTGGGTAAGATAATAAACAAACACTGACAAAAATAAAATACTTTTCTTTTGTTAATGTTCATTGAAAAGGGTTTGCGTTAGTAAAATTTTTATTTTATGCAGAGTTAATGTAAAAGGTTTATATCATTGTTTAATGATGTGTTGAAATATTATTTAAAATATAACTTCTTAAATAATTGTTGTAATACATAAATGTTTAAAATTAATTTCATTTGAAGTAAATTTGTGGCATCACATTTAAAACTAAAGGCTATTTTGCTTCAAATTGAAAAAAAAAAACACTTGAATTTAAAATTGTAAGGTATGTTCAAATTGCGACTGGCGTATGAATTTTAAAGGTTGACGAGAGTATATTTTTTTTAAAGTTAAATTACAAGAAACTCTCTTTTGATTATATGTTATTTTGAAAAGTTTTACTCGATTTAAAACTTAACAGTTCATTCAACTTGTCAAACTGTACATATTGATTTGCTATAAAGATTTTCTATGCAAGCAGTAAGGTTAATCTTTTACCAGCTGTAAATGGAAATAGTTGGATTTTGAATTACATGAGAGGGATAGGTGATGCCTGCGTCCAAGCCTAAGTGCCTAACACATACAAAACAAATTCCAAATAAGCTACACAGAGGACTAAACATCAGCAGAAGCATATGGACATATCATATATGTAATTAGAGGAGCATCCCACCTAAACAGAAACTCAAGCTCATCATGACATAAAAAACATGAGTTTAATAAATGTAGATTGAATGTGTCAAATGAGGAACATTCTTTTTTGAGTGCTGATAAGTGGACATTTTGAAAACATCATGTAGTGTATTTTCAATCTACGGAGTTTGAACAGATGTCTCCCTTCCTTAGAGATACAATTTCTAGTAAATCCCACTATTAACATACTAATGAATCCAAATTTACATATTCCATATCAATTTAAAATGCATTCAGGCCAAAAGATAAGTTGATTATTGACATCTGTTCAAAAAAAAGAAAAGAAAATTGATGTAGATAAAGAAGTATTGGCAATAGAAATATACTTTCAGGACTCCAGCTGCCTTTCTGAAACCAGTAGAGTCACTAGTAAGCGTCATTATGTGGTAAAAGAATTGAAATAATTTACACATGGGGAGATGATGAAAGTTTCTCAAACAAGCACACGAGTATTCTAAAACAGTAAAGTTTTTGTCTTGAATATTACCAGATCAATACACCTTTATGCATAATTTGCGACTCAGAACATGTTTGATACAAGGGGCACTGGCTAAGCTGAAATACACTAGAGTCAGGCATAAGGTCATGAAACTGTGTTTTCTGAAAAACTTATCCTAAGATTATCATGCCCATTTAGAGCTTTGAATCAGCAGGTTTCTTCATATTGTTAAAGGAACACATCTAATTGTGTTATTATAAAACAGAAACACATCAAACGACAAAAAAAAAAGAAAAAATACTATAGGATGTTAGATTAGGTATGCCGACATCCTTGAGAATTTCATTTATATTTTGGGCATATATTTGCCATCATGCTCTCTCCTGCATCTTTTGGCAACATTTTCCATTTACTAAACCCAGAAGTATTTTTCTCATGTAACTAACTTGTTGTAAAATAACAAAAGCATTAAATGCCAAAGAGAAAACAAAAAATATAGAGATAAAATAGAGTCAATCAATCTAGAAACCTATATATTTTGTGAGCAAATCTCCTTCGATAAGATGTCGTTGCGTAGATCTCGAAAAATTATATGGAATAAAAAAAATACTTGATTTGGACACCGAGTTAAAAGTTATGGTCTTCCGAAATTTTACGATCAAATTATTAATTTCTTGTGTCATATGTCACAACGTGAATGGTGCTGGATCTCGCCTCTTTTGGCCGAGTTCTAAGGGAAAACTCGCCTTATTTGGGCGAGAGTAGTCTCGCCTTATTTGAGTGAGATCTACTACAATACATTCGTAAAATAGTTCAAAACAATTATGTTTTCGTAATTTTTTAGTAAAATAAGTATTTTTCGTAAAATACTTATTTATTGGGAACATCGACCAAAATGTCACTTTTGGACAAATTTTTTATCTAAATGTCACGCGAACAGTACTTCTTACCCAACTGTCATGTGATGTAATTCACTACAACTAGTAGCAAACTTTGTTCGCGAATGATTTTGTGGCACGTGACACACTTTCATAAGAAAAAGCTGACAAGGCTAAGTTCGCTCTTAGCGGTAGGAAATTTGGTACGCAATATGGCCACGTGTCACGAAATAATTGGCCATGAAGTTCGCTATAGCAAACTTTGATATGTGACAGTCTGATAAAAAGTATTATTCACGTAACATTTAAATAAAAAATTTGTCGCACTTTGGTCACGTTCCTATTTATTGACTAATCAGTTGTTATTGTACAAATGGCTCTAACCAAATTTGTCGTACCGGCCATTAACGATTTTTCGATGGAGCTGCATTATTGGTTATTAGATTGCTCATTCAATAATCATTCAAAAATCAATATTATTGTCAACTGCTACTTAGACAAAGATACATAAATAATGATATTATATAATCTTTCTCTCTTTCTTTTTTTTTGAATAAGAATTTTGCCAAATACCATGATTTGGGCATAAAATTTCCTTTGCACACGCACGCTCTTAAAATGGGTTTGACCGACCCAAACGCCAAACTAAACACGCTCTCATCAATTATCGTTAAATTAAAAGGCTGTTGGTTTTTCATTTTTGGGTAAGATTATAAACAAATACTGACAAAAATGAAACACTTTTCTTTTGTTAATGTTCATTGAAGAGGGATTGCGTTAGTAAATTTTTTATATTTTATGCAGAGTTAATGTAAAAGGTTTATATCATTGTTTAATGATTCAAATATTATTTAAAATATAACTTCTTAAATAATTGTTGTAATAGATAAATGTTTAAAATTAATTTCATTTGAAGTAACTTTGTGCCATCACATTTAAAACTACAGGCTATTTTGCTTCAAATTAAAAAAAAAAACAATTAAATTTAAAATTGGCATATGATTTTTTATTTTTATTTTTTTAGTACATGATGAGGGGCTAAGCCCCAAAAAGAAAGAAATAAAAACTACGATTGGCATATGAATTTTAAAGGTTGACAAGAGAGTTTTTTTTTTTTTTTTTTTAAGTTAAATTTCAAAAAACTCTCTTTGATTATATGTTATTTTTGAAAAAAATTACGCGATTTAAAACTTAACAGTTCAGTTCATTCAACTTGTCAAACTGTACATATTAACTTCCTATAAAGATTTTGAATTACATGAGAGGTTTTGCGGAAGAGATATAGAGTTAAATGGAGTTATTGTATTTTAGATATGTTATCTAAGAGGAATGTTAATTCTTTGTTCACTTTTTTCGACATATATATACAAGTTATTTAACGAAGGGGCAACAAAGTAGTGTTTTTTTTTTTTTTTTTGAAATTTGGATTGGGCCAGAAAGAGCTGGTAGCTGAGCCCACTGATTGGCGGGTCTTTCACTCTTTACATTCTCAACATTTGAAATGAGCAACGAACATTGCATAAGATTTCACAACGGAAACGATGGAGAGATCGGAGCCGGAGATGAATAGCGCAGAAATCTATACAACAACAGACACCTTAAATGGCTCCGCCATATTCCACACCATCTACGACGTCCTAGGGTTTGTGCTTTACATGCACCAGCAAATCCCCTCGTATGTTCTTTTTTTTTTGGACAAAAAATTTCTCCGTTTTGGTTTCAATTGTGGAATTTAATTATTTCAATTATTTGGATATTTTGTAACCAAGCTTTACGGAAACTTTTTTCTCATTTTTCGAAATTGAAATTTGTAGTATTGACGGCTTTTCGTTTATGCAGCACAGTTCAGGATATGAGTATTGAATTTGACGCATTGCATTCCGAGTTTAAGCAATTGGTATGTTTTCCGAATAGAAATCGTTTGAATGAGTGATTATTTTTATTTTGTCTGTGATTTGCATGCATCCTGAATTTATTAATCTCAGGAGATGGCTATGGGAACTGAATTAAAGGCATCATGTAGGAGAAAACATGTTAGCAAAATGAGGGATATCAAGCTTGGAATCAGGAGATTGGATAAGTTTATGAATTCACTTTTGAATGTAGAAACTGCAATTAAGATGATTATCAGTGATATTCCCACCATAGAGGGGGTCATTTTGGCTCTTGGAGCTAGCCCACTTCGACCTCAGCACATTTATGTCTTGGACTTTCCCCACGGAATTTCTGTTTCCAATGTTGCAGATGATTTTGCTCGGAGTAAAGCAGCCGATGGTCTTTCAAGAAAGGTTCCTTATTGATATTTTTGTATTTCAGATTAAGATGCAATGTGCTTTGTGAGAGGGAGAAGAGTTTGAGGTTATGTTTCATGTTTTCTTTAACAGGCAATTCGGACATTGATATCAAAGGGTGCTGGGTCTGTGACCTATCCTGGTTGGTATTGACTTTGCTAGTTAGTTAAACATTAATCTGAAGAGGAAATATTCAGATTGGCCCTCCCAAGATACATTAGACATCGAGTTGGTCCTTCAAAGATTTTGGACATCAACTCGGTCCTTCATTGTGTAAAATAAGCATCGATTCCGGGACCAAATTGATGATCAAAAGGTATGTTCAATTAAACATTGAGGGATCAAATTAATACCCAAAATCTTTGGAGGACCAACTTGGTGTCCCATGTATCTTTTGAAGGACCAATTTGAATATTTACTCATAATTTGAATGAATTTTCTTCATGTTATCTCCTTATTTATTTGTCGTGCTTTATGCTATAATAATACGATGATTATACTTTCCCTGCTTTTGTATAGGTCCTATCAAATTGTTTGTTTTAATTAAGGCCCCTTCTTCTTTCAATCAGCCTCTGCATTTTCTGCCTAAACGTGATTTTAGGTATAACAGAAAGGTAACATAGGCTATGATGACATATTATATTAATAGATATTTTTTTTTTAATGTTTGAAATATATGATCTTTTCTGTTTGCTTAGGGCATCATGTACTGTATTTGTTTGCGGAGCATTTGCAGTTAGTAATGCTCATGATTTCTTTATTTGGTAAAGAAGATAGCAAGTGCTATTTATATTAGCTGCTTTCCAAATTCAAATATGGCAGACATATGTTTCATCTGATACAGTGATTATATGTTTTTTTTCAATAATTCCAATTTTGTGATCAGTGATGTGAACCTGATGAAACTAGTGTTATTTTGTTGCATGACTGACTTTAAGACTGCGGGCAATTCATCATTAATATCATCATTCTTTGGAAATAATTTAACTGCAGACCTTGCTATCTGACTTCAATTCCTTTTATGCTACGGATTTGATTGATGTTGGTATTGTTCCTTTTAACTTGTTTTACTATGGAAATGAAAATGTTTTTTCTCTCACACTATGAGTTAAGATTTAACATGTTTTAGGCAACAATATAAATCTTTCAGTATTTCTTAGGGTGTGTTTGGCTACTTCCAAAACTAGTTTAACATGGTGCAAAATGGAACCAATTATACAAACCCTTATAAAAAAGAACCTATTGAAGCTTGAAAATTAAATTGAGTTTAGTTGAAAACTAGCTTAAAACTGGTTTTAATATTACTGTTGTTGGACTAAAGTGAGAAAATAAAAAACAATTTTAATTTTATTATATTGAGATAATAAATTTCTGTTCATTTCCTATAACAAAATAATTATAATGGGGTAGAGAGAGACAGAGAGAGAGTCAAGAAAAAGTTGGACTAGAAAAAACTTGGTGTTGGACATTTTATAAACTAGTATCTTATATTTAATAACCCCGTACTTACATATATTGTTTTTGAAAGTTGCCAAACCACCCGTAGGACTTATATTTAATATAACTCATAAAGGCTATTTCAGTGAATTAGTTTTGCTTTAGTTATTGCATGCATATTGTTTCCTAGTAAAAGGATCTCATGCATTATATATTCCTATATAATAAATATTTTGGGAGGAGGATTTTTCATGTATTGCCAGCAACTGAACTGCCTTTTCACTGTAGGTTGTGCCTCTCAGGCTACTCTTCAAGTGCCGAAACCAGGATCAGGAAGTTGCTTCTCCCACTTCAGAAGATTTGATCTGGTATCTTTTCGCATGCTATGAATATTTGGTTTATGAGGATACATTTTTGTTTAGATGAATTGCCTTTTGTATGCTGCTCACCAAATCACCTGTTTTTTCACTGGACTTATATTTGATGGTATGAGGTGAAAAATTCCTGCAAATATGTTACTGTATAACCCTTCAGATCATTCTTCATTTGGCACATTATAATGTTAGCAGTCAATTTGTTTGTTATTTTTCACATTTATAATACAGGCAGTTGGGTTTTGTGTCCAAGCAGACCATTACTGTTTGCCAGGGGACCATAAATTTGCCTACTGCTTAACATTTGTGACCTCCCTAAATAGCATTCCATTTTATGCCTACTAATAACATAGTTTTCCTACGCTTTTCATGATATGGTCTCTAGTCTTTTTTTCCTCCACACTATGATCATTCAGCATTGCTAACTTTTAAATGGCTTACATCTTTTTCTCCTCACAGGTTTCAATGCCGGCATGTGATAAAAGGCCTTGCAATGAACACAACGCCAGAAGAATGAAATCCTCCACTCCAAATTAAGATAGGAAGAACTTGTTGTAAATATGACTTATGCTTGAAGCTAATGCTTCCTTGTTTCAATTTCATTATGAACCGTTAGGCATTGGAGGAATGATATGTTAAAAAATAAAAGCCATTTGGAAAAACATGGATTGCAGCATCTCAGATATTTGAAGCCCACGAATGTGGACGTTGTGATAAGATGCCATATAATATGACTTGACAAGATTTCATAGTCATGTTGTAGAAGAGTTTGGTTTACTAAGATGTAGCTTTGGATTGTTTAGCACTTGTAGCCAGAGGAGCTTCCATTGGTAACTGGTAAGGGATGTTTTTTTGGGGTCAACGGCAACTGGTAATGGGTTGGGGAGGGCAGTCTGCACCACCTCATGGGTGATGCCCTTGAATTTTGTAGGTAAATTTAAATTATTTGATTTAGTTGGATTAGAACATGTGCACTTACTTTAGTGAAAATGTAGTTGAATTAGTATGTCATTTTAGCCGAGTATTTGAAACTCACATTATGCCTTAGGCACTAGTAAATAGGGATACTGTTAGAATTTCATCTGACTTTTACTCTACCTGCCGTGGACCATTGCACCAGCATTTTGACACCTCAAAGATGAAGCTTATAGTTACTTAAAAGAAATGGACGGAAGAATATATTTCTCCCACTTGATCTGTTGGGGATTATAAAAAATTGTTTACGCTTCTACAAACATAAGTTCATTCGAATAGTTTCTATCAATGTTAATAAAACTGGAGCGCTCCGACGATTCGATCCGAAAATCGGTAAATCGGTCCGGGTGAAGCAACGGATCGGTCATGTATTGGAACTGATGCGACACGATCGGTTTTTGTGAAAACTGGTGATCCGGTCCAAAAAAAAAATTTCAATTTTTTTTTAACAAAATCATAATGGATATATTTGAGTATTTTTTGCTTATTGACTTACATAGATTATGTACTTACAATACTAATATTATTTCAATTATGCACTATGCAAGAAAATTTGATTTGATTTATATCTAGAGATGTCATTTATTGAACCTGAAATCCAGTATTACGATCATTATATTTTTGTTTGATCCTTTATTGGATAATAATGTGTGATTTATTATTTTTTATATTAAAATATTTGAATTTTTTTTTTTTTTTTGGATATTTAAGTATGTTTATAATTTTTTAATATAAATTATAGAATTGCATATAATTATCGAGTCAGTTCAATCAATGACTTGTTAATTAAACCAGTAACCCAATAATCCAGTTCATTGACTCGTCAGTTTTAATAACATTGGTTTTTATTACTAATAGAGCTCCTTGAAGAACTTCCTATTATATTTTTGTTTATTCAACAAATTAATAAAACATATAAAGTTATTTTAGGTCATTATACCGTATTTTCTTTTATTTTTTCTTTCTATATTTTAGTCTTGTACATGCGTTTAATACGTGAGTTACTACTTCTAGTATTAGTTAAAAGCTTACAAGTTTTTGCCATCATTGTTTTGTTTTGTCTTTTGTTAGTAATTTATATGGATATAGAATATTCTTATTATCAAATATTTTTACGATCAATTTACTACCATTTTAATTTATTGTTGGATTTCACTTTTCGGTCGACAATTAATTTATTATCACTTTAATTACTGTTAGATTTCATTTTTTAGTCGATAATGTTTGAAAAAATTTTAAAGAGAGAGAAAAAAAGAACTTTTAATATATTCTCCCGTTGATATAGTTATATTAGAGAGATAGTGGATTGATAATAAAAATATTTGATAATAAGAATATCCTATCTTATTTATCTGATGCACTGTACAGCTAAGTGAAGACATTAATTTTTATTTTTTTTATTTTTTTGAGAAAACATAAATGCAACAGAATACAAATGCTCTGCTTGGGAGACATAGGATAGAATTCAAGTTTCAGATGGTAGAATTAGTGCTTGTAACGAAAGGAAAGGAGAAGACGAAATATGAAGAACCTCCTCTTTCCCATCATCAAGATGTGATAGTTCGATTGCAACAGCGGTTGTAAATATCACAGGGAATGAATATTAACAGAGTGCAGAAAAAAAAAAACAGTGCGTTCGGGTTTGGCACATTTGCTGCATATGCAGTGCAGCTATCAGTACGTTCGATCAATCCAAGAACCACATTATGAATCATGTTGTCAATAGCAGAAAAAGGATAATATCAACTTACTTTTTTTTTTAAATAATAAGCCATACATCAATTTTTTTTTCGGTTTATATCAAATTTTATTTATTGATCCACCTGTATACAATAATATACGTATTTAATAAATTAAAACTGTTAGTATAAATAAAATTAGGGATTTATTAATCTCATGTTACATAAGAGTACTATCTCATGTGGGTGATACAAATATGTGGGGTCCACAATTTAAAAAGAAAAGAAAAAAGAAAAGAAATGATTGGCACAAAATTCTATGAGTGTATGACATGAGATAGATATCTTATGTAGCATGCGAGTATCATTTCCCATAAAATTAATTACTAAAACTAGAGTATAAATTATAAAGGGTTTGATTTCTCATGTTACATGAGAATTGATTTATCATGTTGTGACTTAACTAGTGGTGGGCTCCACATTTATTAAAAAAAAAACTTTACACTCAAATTAAAGAGTCATAACATATGAGAAAATATTTTTTCAAATTATAATGGTGTAAAACGACTTTGCTATTTGAAAATTAACAAAATTAACTTAAGATTTATATATCTAAAATGAGAATGTTGGATATAAAATTGAGAATGTAACTTTTTTTTTTTTTAGTACTGCAAAGGGGCAAAACCCAAAAAAGAAAACTACAAATTGCCACACTCAGAGTCCAGAATTAACGGACTCAGCTCCAAAGGGGCATCTAACAGCAAAACAAAATCATCCTATGTAGCAGAAGCTAAATTAGCAAGACGGTTAGCACAAACGTTACTGTCTCTTCGGACATGATCAAATTTGACAATCCACTCCTTGTTACTCCAGCTTCTGATGCTATTCACAAGCTGATGGTTATTACAGATAGCAGACATGCAATTGATGGCTTGGATAGCTAAAAGGCAGTCACTTTTCACTAGCAGTTATGTCACATTAAGGTCCCAAGCAACTCTGATCCCCTTATAGATCGCCCAAAGTTCAGCTATATAAGGAGAGCAGATACCTATCTTATATAAAAACCCAGCAATCCATGTCCCATTGTGGGAATGTAACTTATATTAGTATTAAATGATCATTTCTCTTCAAAATTTATACCAAAATTTAATCACTAATTTTTTTGTATTTATTAATATATCTAATAAATTAGAGCGGTTGAATAGAAATAAAATTAATAATTAAGATTAAGAGTGTAGTTATATATGCTTGTATGTAATCAAAGGTTAGTATCAACAACTAATAAATTGTTCGTATCTAAATATATAACTATTTGACAACACATGACACGTATCTAAATATATGCTTCTTTGTAATCTAATTTTTAAATTTTCTAATAATTTTACTTTTAAAAAACGATAACGAAACAATTATCCATGAGGTGGTTTCTAAGCTACATCATTACATCTTGCATATATGTTTAGGGGAAAATGTTTATTATTTTAAATGACATAACACTCTATCCTTTTAAGAGAGAGACAGACACAGAAAAAAATTATTTAAATTTAAAATTAAAAAAATCACTCACTTTCTCTCTCTCGTGATTTCTATTTTTCGGTGTCCATCTCTCTCCTAAAATGACATAACTTATGTTATTTAAAATGACAAACACCAAACCCATATGTTTATTTATTTGTCTCTTATTTTTTATTTATAAACAAAAAGTCATCAAGAGATAATAACGATAACAAATTACTTTTTTCTTTTTGAATCCACATATTGTTAGTAACCACGCTCTTACAAAGAATCGGGTTTTTTATTACAAAAAAAAAAAAAAAAAAATCGGGTTTTGAGGATTTTTGCTTCACCTGAATAACCTAAATGCACACAAAAAGTAATATTAAAATTAACACCCAACCACCCACCCAATTGTTAATTGAACGACTACCATATATGCCACTGGAGAAAGTTTAACGGCTATTTGAATACTGTTTTTAAAAATAAATTTTTGATTTTTGAAAAAATAAAATAAAATCTGTTTGATAGTCCTGTTTTATAAAAATAGTTTTGAAAATTATAATTATTTTTTTATTTTTATAATCAAATTTAAAGAACATATTTTAGTTATTTTTGTTTTGTGTTTTGATTTTTAACTTTCAAAACAAAAAAATACATAAAATATTTATTTCATTAACTATTTTACAAAACAGTTTTAAGAAGAAAAAAAAATTTAAAACACAATCAAACGAATTATAAATTTCGATAGCTGAGAGTGTGCAACCCAATGACCTCTCTCTAAATATGTAGAAAATTAATTGTATGATTTGGCTTTGGGTAAAGTGTGTGTCATTTTAAAGGATGTAAAGTTGTGTTATTTTAAGAGAGAGAAAGAGATAGATAAAGGATGAGAGAGAGTTGACAAAAAAAATAAAGGTGTGGGTCCTACTTCTTTGTAAGAGTGAAAGAATATAAGTTGTGTTATTTGAAAGGATAAACATTTTTCCCTTTGGCTTTTCAATAAAAGCTTATGGTTTCATAACTGTATAATCCACACAGGAATTTACTAATTTATTAAAGGGTTTTATTTTTCTTATGTTACAAAAAATGAATGAGACTCACTAAAAAGGAAGAGAGAGAAAATAAAAAAGTGAGTCCCATCGACTTTTTGTGTGTTGCATGAGACAACTTGTCTCATGCAACATAAGAAAAATAAAACCCTTTATTAAAAGAAGCTTAAAAGGAACAATCTTATCATTGTTATGAGGCTTGCAACCCCCATTTGGTAAAATAGGTAAAAAAAATTATTTTTCCTTAAAGAAACGTGTTTATCTTTTTGCATTAGATAATTTGTCTTATGCAATACATAAAAAGTGAGTGACACCTATTTTTTTTTTGTATGTTGCAAAAAATAAACATGAGAAATATATAGGGTTTATTTTTTCTGATGTTATTTTAGATAACTTTATCTAATGTTCATTAAAACGACGTCGTTTTGGCACGGAAATCATGGTATTTTTGTAATTTTAATTTATTTCAGGGTTATAATAATCTTTATCACTCTAATTTTTTAATTTTTCAAACCCAGAAACGACGTCGTTTCGATGAACATTAGATAAAATTATCTAAAGTAACATCGGAAACTTTTTTCCCAAATATATATATATATATATATATATTTAATTAATTGTTTACATATGTAATAATCAATTTCAGATACTGACGAAAGTACCGATAGATAATGCTAGCCCACGAAAAGGAAACGATGTACGTACATAAGCAATTTTTTATTTTTATTTTTTATATATAATCAAATGCTTCCAATCCAAGCGACCAAGATGAAGAAAACAAAATAACAGATTCCATCATGTTATCATATTGTTTCGTTTTTATAGACATACAATCAATTAGTATCTCTGGACATATGGTTATATATATCTTTGAAATCTTGCTGTCAAATATTCTGCATTTTAATTCATTTGGTAGATATTTTCCCTCCTCGACACCAAATATGTCCTTCCTTACTTGGCACTAGAAAGGATTTTGGTGATTTTATCAAAATAAACATGATAGAATGGGATTTACTAATTAACCTTTAACTCCAAAACTTTTTATTAATAAATAATTAATGTATAGATTTAATTTGTCAAATTATGCCTGACATAAAATAGGAATGAGTTTACACTAATAGACATCAAAATTAAACTCAAAAAGTTTCAAGTCCGTTTTATCATAATATGGCTTAGGGTGTGTATGACAACTTTCCCAGAGTCAATTCTTTTTTAATTTCTGTTCCTGGGAACAAAAATCGATAGAAAACTCGTTTGATAAAACTGGTTTATTTTTTTGTTCTCGGGATGAACCGGTTTAATTTTTGTGCTCGGGAACAGTAAAAAAAATCAAAAAAATTCTGCTTTTTTTTGTTCCCGGGCACAAAATGAGAAACATTTATTTCTCACAATTACTTTTCACCACTATCATCATCATCACCACCATTATCATCCCGACATGACCACCGCCACCACCACGATGATGTCGCCGTCACCATTACCACCACCACCACCACCAACACGATGTCATCGCCACCACCTCCACCATGTCACCGTCATCACCATTATTACCACCGCTGCTACCACCACCATGCCACCACAACCATCGCCGCAGCCACTGCCGTCACCACCACCACCACCGCCACTGCCATCACCACCCCCACCGTCACCACCATTACCACGATCATTGCCACAACCACTACCACCACCCCCCCACCACCATCGCCGCAGCCACTGCCGTCACCACCACCACCACCGCCACTGCCATCACCACCCCCACCGTCACCACCATTACCACGATCATTGCCACAGCCACTACCACCACCCCCCCCACCACCAGTGCCACCGCCGCCACCACCACTGCCGCCACCACCATTACAATCACCATGTCATCGCCACTGCCACTCCGTCACCAACCACCACCACCATCGTCGGAGCCACTGCCGTCACCACCACCACCACCACCATGTCATCACCAACACCACCATGCCACCACTACCACGCCACCAACCACCGTCGTCGTCGCCACTACCACCGCCACCATCATTGCCACCATTATCGCCACCACTGCTGCCGTCACCGCCACAACTACCACCATGCCCATCACCACTACCATCACCACATCATCCTCACTGTCGCCACGCCACCATCACCAACCACCACCACCGCCGCCGCCGTCACCACCACCACCACCATTACCATCATTATTGTCATAGCCACTGCCGTCACCACCACCACCCCCACCACCATTACCATCACCACGTCATCGCCTCTACCACACCGTCACCAACCACCACCACCACCATCGTCGCAGTTACTGCCGTCACCACCACCGCCATGTCATCACCAACACTACCACGCCACCAACCGCCGCCGCCGTCGCCACTACCACCACCACCATCCCCACCATTACCACCACCATCGTCGTAGCCACTGCCGTCAGTACCACCACTGTCGCCACCGCCACCATATGAAAAGGAAAGTGATGATCCAAAAAAAATTATGCTTGATAGGAATTATTTTTGATTATATTATTTGTTGTGTTATCAAACACAATTCTCATTCTCAGAATAAAAATATAACATGTTATCAAACACATTTTTTTTCAGAAACTGCTCCAAGGCACAGAAATAGAAAAGAATTGTTTCTTTTCAGAAACAGTTCCAGGGAACAGAATGGTTGTCATGCACACCTTTAATCTAAGAAACTTATCTACAAAATTCACATATCCTAATTATCTACAAAATTATAGAAGATGTTTTTATAACATTTGACATTGAATTAATATAATATTCTTGGTATAAAATTAAAAAAAAAAAACCATTTGAGCGTGCTATTCTATTCAAAATGAATAATCCAACAAACTATGCATTTGCGCTATGTGCTATTCATCGTACAGTCTCTTCAAATTCGAATACAGCAATTTCATAAACTAAAGGGTTAAAACGATTGATTGTGCAAGGAATATTCCTTTTACAATGACTAATGAGTATCTCGTGCAATTTACAAACATTAAAAATTAAAAATTAAAAAATTATATAATTAAAAATAATATATTTTAAAATAAAAAATTTATTACCAATAAATTTTAAATTTGATATTTTAAAAAAAAATAATTGCATATGTTATTTTTTAAAGAAAGATAACATAAATAATTAAATCACTTTAATATATATATATATATATATATATATATATATATATATATATATATATATGGAGAAAACATTTCTGTAGCCACTTTAGATAAGGTTGTCTACAACTACCTTTTTTTTTCCACTAAGTACGACCTGTCGTACATTAAAATTGCATTTTCTCTCTCCGTCACGTCAGCCGACAGTGTCTGAGGAAAGAGAAAAAAAGAACAGCTTTAATATTATAACTAAGTACGACCGGTCGTACTTAGTAAAAAAGGAGTAGTTGTAGACAACTTTATCTAAAGTGGCTGTAGAAATATTTTTTCCTATATATATATACTATAATTCCTTTTGTAATAAATATTTTAGTGATAATTTATTTAAATTCAAGAGTTATCTTTGAATTTTCATTCTATTTAGAAAGTCATGCGTAAAAAGGCGTCGCTTCAAAATAAATTAAAAAACTGGTACAAATTTTATAAGTATGAATAATGACATTGAGATCGGTTATATTCTCTATCATTTTAACTTTCTATCTTTAATAACTTTTTTCAACATTAAATTGGATTTAAAGGAGTGCAGTCATCTTAATTAATGGATTATGATAAGGAGCAGAATTTAAAATTTTTGAGCTTGTGACACTTTTCCATAAACCTCATCCTGTAGGCTGTAGGTCACTTGTCTCATTCTTGCCACTTTTTATTCCGTCGATGTCTCTCATAAAGGACATTATTAATATTGTTTGAATGGCCTCTTATATGGCCTCCTTCAATCCCCCAAGTCATGCCTAGAAGTGCTCATAGATGCCCTAAAAGATGTGTTTAAAAAATGGATTTTATTAATCTCCTTCCACATAAGAGTTATCTTATGTGGTAGAGAGAAAATAGGTGGGTCCCACCATTACAAGAAAAAAGAAAAAAAAGAAAAAAGTGGGGTGCGAAAATCGAAGTGAGAGAAAATGAGATAAGTTACCTCATGTAAAAGGAGATTAATATTTCCCTTAAAAAATATGGTAATTGCAATGATATTTGTTACCAGACTCAACTGCTATTGGGTCCAATGAGGCTCGGCCCATTGTAACTTAAAGTCCATTTATATTTAATTAGTTAGTCTGTTAGATTCTTTAGTTAGTTAGTTAATCTGGTAGCTTCTAGAGTTAGTTTAATATAAAAGCTCTTTTCCTTGTACATAGATTGATCGATTCAATACATTCAGTTTTAATTTTTCTTTCCTTTTCTTCTCTTCTTGATCCTTGCATGGTGGTTTCAATATCATAAGATGGTATCAGATTACACTTTCCGCTTTTCTTCCTGTTTGTATCTCTGATTCTTCGTTCCCTATTCAATTTCTTCTTCTTTTCGTTTATGTTTTGGATTCTTATTCATGGCGAATCCGAACAATGTTCTTCCTGATTTTTATACTAATCCCGAGAATCCATTTTTCTTGCATCCAAGCGAAAATCCTGGTTTGGTGCTTGTTTCACCTCCTCTAGATGAGAGGAATTACCATTCTTGGGCCACATCTATGACCATGGCTCTTTTGAGCAAGAACAAAATCGGTTTTATTAATGGCACTCTTCCACCACCACCACCACCGGAACTGGATCCTTCCTTTCATGCATGGCAACGTTGCAATATGATTGTCTTATCATGGATTCAGCGGTCAATTAGCAGCTCCATTGCAAAGTCAATTCTTTGGATCGATCGAGCCAGTGATGCATGGGCTGATCTTCGCGGAAGATTCTCTCACTCTGACATCTTTCGCATCTCCGATTTGCAAGAAGACATGTATCGCATGCAACAAGGTGACAGGTCTGTAACCGAATTTTACACTCAAATGAAGATACTGTGGATGAGCTTAAGAATCTCAAGCCCTTACCTGTGTGTCGTTGTGCCAATCTTTGTTTATGTGGAGGTTATACCTTGATGAGAACCTACAGAGACCGTGATCAAGTTGTTAGGTTTCTCAAAGGTCTTAATGAGCAATATGCTCATCCTGTGCGTTCTCAGGTTATGCTGATGGATCCTTTTCCAAACTTAATTCGAGTTTTTTCATTGATAGTCCAACAAGAGAGACAAATGCATAGTGGTCTCTTGGTTGAAGAAAATGGTGATACCAAAGCTTTTCACAGCTGTTCAGATAATCAACAACTAGGGGTGTAAATAGGCCAGGGCAGGGCAGGCTTTGGCCTTCCTGGCCTAGGCCTACACACAAAAATATTGAGCCTATCTGGCCTATGAGCCTATCAAAGGCTTAGTTTAAAGGCCAAGCCTGCCCTGTTATTAAAAAATAAAAAGCCTACATGGCCTGTGAGGCCTTTTAGGCCTACCATATTGCATATTAAATTTAAAAAAAAAAAAATATCTTATTCATTAAACAATATTTCTAACATGTGTCCAAATTATTAAAATTCTACAACAGATTTTTTAACAAGAACACATATTATAAAAATTCATGACAACAAAGATTGAATTTTTCTTGGCATACTAAAACAAAAGCAATTAGATTATCTAACTTTTAGAATAAATAAATAAATATATAAAATATTTTTTTTATTTAAATATTAAGCAGGCCGGCCTACAGGCTAAAAGGCCAGGCATTTTATGTTTAGCCTACGACCTTGTTTCTAAACAGGCTCATCTACAAGCCTTAACTTCTCTTCTTGCCTCGTAGGCCAGGACAGGCCAGGCTTTTCGTAGGCCAGGCCATAGGCCCGCTTGGCCCATTTACACCCCTATCAACAACGCATGAATTTTGGCAGAGGCAGGGGCCATACCACTCCTGAATATATGAATAAAGGACGTGGTCCAAGTAAGATGTGCACCTGCTGTGGCAGGCCTCATCACACCATTGACACCTGTTATCAGAAACATGGTTTCCCTCCTGGTTTTAAGTCCAGGGTTCCCAAAGCCAACTTTGTGGCTCATTATGATACTGGTAATGATATTGGTGTTGTTGAAGAGGTTGACAACCAAGATGGAATGATGACAATTACTCATGAGGAATATTAGAATTTGCTTAAAGGCCTTCACTTGAGTCCTTCCAATGATGCTACTCCTTTTAGCTCCACGAATCTAGTTCACACTACTGCATTGAATGCCAATACCATTCTTATGACAGGTACATCTTTATCCAGGTGGCTCCTTGACACAGGAGCCACTGACCATATTAGTTGCTCCTCATCGAATTTTTCCAAGCTTTTCAAAATCAATCCTATTTCCATAACATTACCTGATGGATCCCACACTATAACACATTTTGCTGGTACTGTTATTCTGCCCTCCACTTTAACATTGCTCGATGTTATTTTTGTGCCTTCATTCCATGTCAATTTGATATCAGTTACCAAGTTGCTTAAAACTATTTCCTGCTACCTAATATTTCGTGATTCCTATTGTCTTATCAAACAGATGAATACCAATGTGATGATTGGTTGAGCTGATCAAACTGATGGGTTATATGTGATGAGGTCTACAAGTTCTGCTCCCACTACTGGCAAAAATAATGGAAACACCTTAACTAGGGGTGTAAATGGGCTAGACTTGGCTGCGCTTTGGCCATTTTGGCCCAAGCCTACATCAAAAAAAATTCAGCCTATCTGGCCTACTAGTCTATTAAAGGCTTTATTTGTAGGCCAAGTCCGACCCTTTTTTAAAAATAAAAAAGCCTGACATGGCCTACAGGCCTTGTAGGCCTCCCACTGTAGATACTAAGCAAAATAATAATAATTATATAGAGCAAAAAAAGTTTCATTCATGCATGCACTAGTACTTCTCATAAGAAAAAATGACAAACAAGAAAGAGTCAACATAATACCCCAGCTCTAGAATGTATATCATAGAGGAATAGAGTCAAAGAAATGGAGAAAATAAAAAAAATACAATTACCGGATGCTGAAATAAAGTCTACAAGAGAATGTCATTTATCTAAAAATCTTTAAACCACCATCAAGACAAGGGAAAGAAGAGTATTATTGAAAGATCTTCATCAATAACATTATAATCCAGCAAGGTACCCATTACTCCATGATATTAAGCTGCAATAACATGTAAAATTTGGAGACATTAGACAAGTTTTCCTTTCATAAAATAAAATAGCACATGTTATCAAAAAAAAAAAAAAATAGCACAAAAAGTAAGAGATATTGATATTTGGTACTTTGCGTCTTTGCCACATAAAAATAAATATTATTTTATTATTTTATTTTAATAAATTAAATAGGCCAGCTTACAAGGTTGTAGGCCGGGCTTGACAAAATTAGCTTATGGCCTATTTGTTAAAAAAGCTTTTTTATAAGCCTAAGCCTACTTTACTTTTCTGAAAGGTCGGGCCTGGGTCGGGCTCAATGTAGGCCGGGCCGTAGGCTGGGCTAGGCCAGCCTGGCCCATTTACACCCCTAACCTTAACCAATTCTGCCTTTACTGTTTTTCCCAATTCTGTTTCTCCCCATTCTGTAAATAATACCGATGCCTCCTTGTTATGGCATCATAGACTAGGCCATGTATCTCCTAGTACTTTGAAACATATGGCAATAAAATTTCCTTTCATTTCTGTTAATGACATATCTCCTTGTGATACTTGTCATTTTGCAAGGAAACACAAATTACCTTACCCAAACAGTAATACCAAAACTTCTTCTATTTTTCAATTAATTCATGTAGATATTTGGGGCCCTTACTCCATCCCCTTTGTCCATGGCCATAGATATTTCATCACCATTGTTGAGGATTTCTCCCGTTTTACATGGGCTTTACTCATGAAGTCCAAGGCTGAAATCAGAAAGTCTTTACAAAATTTTATTTCCATGGTCCAGACTCAATTTAACCTCACTGTCAAATGCATTAGGTCTGACAATGGTATTGAATTTGCCATGCCTTCTTTCTTTCAAGAAAAGGGTATTCTTCACCAAAAGAGTTGTGTGGAGAACCCTCAACAAAATGGTGTTGTTGAGAGAAAACACCAACACATTTTAAATGTGGCTAGAGCCCTTGTTTTTCAATCCAAATTGCCATTATCTTTTTGGTCTTATGCAATCACTCATGCTATACATATAATTAATAGAACCGCTACTCCTTTACTCAATAACAGTACCCCATATGAAATCCTCTACACTCATTCTCCTTCATTGTTACACCTTAAGGTTTTTGATTGTTTATCATATGCATATACTATTTTGTCCAAAAGAACAAAATTTTCCTCAAGGGCCCATAAGACTGTATTTTTGGGCTATCAAGAAGGTGTCAAAGGATACATCCTTCTTGATATAAACACCAAAAAAAATTTTACCTCCCAAAATGTCATTTTTTTTTTAAAATGAATTTCCTTTTGCTGTTACACCAGCACAACCTGATACACAACCAGATACACATCCTGTCTCTCTTATACCAGATACACATGACACTGATTTCTCACCTTATCTATCCATTCAACCGCATCCTTCTAATACTTCTCTTTCACAACCTGTCATACTAGTTATACCAGATATATCAAATATCCCAGCTACTACTTCCCCTACCAACCATATCCCACCAGCTGCACCTATTCCCACACGCAGGTCAACCAGAATAAGTTCACAGCCATCCTACTTGCAAGATTATCACTGTAACTTATCAGCTACATCACTTAATCACAATCATTCAGGTAATGCATCTTCCATTATTTCCCATCCTCTTTCTTCTGTTTTAACTTATGACAAATGTTCCCCATTCTACACCAATTTTTGTTGCACTATCACTACACACACATAACCCACCACTTGTCTTCAGGCTTCCAAACATGAATGTTGGCGCAAGGCAATGCAGTCAGAAATTTCAGCTCTTGAACACAACAACACTTGGAGCCTTGTGCCCCTTCCTCCTGGCAAGAACACCATCGGCAGCAAATGGGTGTACAAGATAAAATTCCATGATGATGGGTCAATTGAGAGGTATAAGGCTAGGCTTGTAGCTAAAGGCTACACCCAAACAGAAGGCCTTGATTATTTGGACACCTTTAGCCCAGTTGCCAAGCTCACTACTGTACGCATGTTGTTCTCCCTTGCTTCAATCAACCACTGGTTTTTGGAGCAGCTAGATGTCAATAATGCCTTCCTCCATGGGGACTTACATGAGGAGGTCTATATGGCTTTACCATCAGGCATTCATTCTCCCAACTCATCCTTGGTCTGAAAACTTCACAAGTCCCTTTATGGACTCAAACAAGCAAGTCGGCAATGGTACTCTAAGCTGTCCACTGCTTTGCTTTCCCTTGGTTATTGCCAATCCCAAGCTGATTTTTCACTCTTCACAAGAAAGCAGGATAGCTCTTTCACAGCATTGCTCGTATATGTTGATGATATCATACTAGCTGGTGACAATTTGGATGAAATTCGAAGGGTAAAATCTTTTTTGGATTTGAAATTCAAAATAAAAGATCTTGGTAAGCTAAGATTTTTTCAAGGTCTCGAGGTTTCTCGCTCTTCTTCAGGGATTATTCTCAACCAAAGGAAGTACACTTTGGAATTGCTTTCTGACTCTGGCTTGTTGGCTTGTAAAGCTGCCACCACCCCTATGGATCCATCCCTTCGTTTTAAACGTGACTTAGGAAAGCCTGTGTCTGATGTTTCTGCTTATCGTAGACTCATTGGTAGGCTACTGTACCTCACTACAACCCGCTCAGATATCAGTTTCAATGTTCATCAGCTTAGCCAATACTTATCTGCTCCCACTGACATTCATCTTGAGGCTGCTCACCGTGTCCTTCGATACCTTAAGGCTTCTCCAGCTCAGGGTCTCTTCTATCCTGCTAACTCCTCATTACAGCTTAGTGGCTTTGCGGATGCAGACTGGGCTTGCTGCCTTGACACTCGACGTTCAGTCACAGGACTCTGTATTTTTCTGGGTTCCTCACTTATCTCTTGGCGATCAAAGAAACAGACGACGGTTTCTCGTTCATCTACGAAAGCTGAATATCGAGCCTTAGCAGCAATAACGTGTGAAATTCAATGGCTCTCGTACCTTCTTCAAGATTTTTGCATTCCCAGAGAGAAACTGATACCAGTCTTCTGTGACAACAACTCAACCATCTATCTCTCTCACAATCCTGTCTTCCATGAACGTTCGAAGCACATCGAACTTGATTGCCACATCACTCGTGAGAAGATACAATCTGGCCTTCTACATCTCCTTCCCATCTCCACCACTGTTCAGGTAGCTGACATCTTCACTAAGGCTTTGCTGCCTTCGTCGTTCAATGTCCTACATGCCAAGCTTGGCCTGTGAGATATTTATAAACCAACCCAAGCTTGTGGGGGGTGTTACCAGACTCAACTGCTATTGGGCCCGATGAGGCTCGGCCCATTGTAACTTAAAGTCCATTTATATTTAATTAGTTAGTCTGTTAGATTCTTTAGTTAGTTAGTTAATCTGGTAGCTTCTAGAGTTAGTTTAATATAAAAGCTCTTTTCCTTGTACACAGATTGATCGATTCAATACATTCAGTTTTAATCTTTCTTTCCTTTTCTTCTCTTCTTGATCCTTGCATGGTGGTTTCATTATCATAAGAATATTAGTGACAAATGATTAGGTATATCTCTTATCCATTTAATCACCATAAGGACATACTAAGAGCTATAATATAGAGAGAAATAGAGAAATAACAGTGTGAGACTCACCCGTATGTATAATTGTTTATTTTTATTTAGTTTTAAAATATTTGAAATTACTGATTTGAATCCAATCTAACAATAAAAAAATAAAGGTAAAAAAATTAAAACAAACAATATAATTTGCCTCAATGACATTTATTATACTTTTAACTTTCTTAAAAAAGCCGTTGACATTTCCGGAATCCAAAACATGATGATATATGGTGTATATATTACGATCAGTCCCAAAAATCATGGTAATATATGGCCCCGGGCCTCCCATTTTCTTCAGTAGCATCAGCATATTATAAAACTCTGATTTAGTGGGCTCTCCACTTATCACTCTGCAAAGTTTACAAACTTTGCTGTCATTATTCTCCTATCATT